GATGTCCATGCTCTAACCATGGTGGACATCATATTTGAGGATGTGTCAAACATGATGTCACCCATCTTTTGCGAATGAGCGAACCTAATTATTTTGGTGTAAAGACCAAAGCAATCCAAAACATGCTTCATATTGTTTCATGGATTTTGACACAGGTCGCCATTTGATGACTTGACACTCCGCCTCACGGCTCAAGCCTTTTGCACACATCGTGGAGTCGTAAAATCATCGCCCAGTCCCGTACGCGCCATGCCTGCCACCATCAACGTCCGCCCAGATGGTGTGGGAGTCCTCACCATGGACAGCCCTCCAGTGAAGCTTGGCATAGTTTGGTTTCGCCGGCATAATGGGCCAGATTACTATGGCATCACATGAAAAATGCAACATCTGATATATCATGATACAACCATGAGTATGAACAGATTGCTATGTTGTACGAAAAATATACCCCGTTGTTTGGCACTTGTAGTAGATGTCAAATTGAAGGTACTCCGTTTTTCATCAAACATCACTGGAGAAACGATATTGTCGAGAGGTGTACCATCAAATGATCATGAGTCAGAGGGCCGTTCATTTGTTTTCTCAAGCAAACGTGACAGCCTCTACCTTTCTTGGTTGTCCTTCGATATTGCAATATCGGTGTGTCAACGGTGGAATCCCTTGGAACCTGGAACTCGTCATAACGAGTTTCACACAAACTCATATATGTAATATCTGATTATATATGTAAATATATATATATGTATATATATATATATGTATATATATATATATCATGGTTTACCACAAAGACTTTGGATGTTAGTCAAAACATGTCATAACTATGTTCGTGTGTAGGTTGTTTCCCACCCACAATGTTTGCCTCTGCAATGTCAATTTAAGACTCAGAAATATGATCACACGGTTGTGATCTGGTTGGATACTACTTTTCCTGTTTGGTCACTGCCCTCGTCAAACAGCAAGTATACACCTGGTTCGAACTCACGATGATATTTTACTCAACACATGAGATCGCATGCGTAATCAACTTGAGAGGACATGGCATGACATGACATGACATGAATATATATTAGTCTATTAATCTTTATTGATTGGGATGTATACATGATGTACATTAATTCTAGATGTTTGTACACACTTTCCACACTTCCCCATTGCTCCTGCGAGGAATTCTCTGGGGACCGAATTGGTGACATCCTTCAAGCAGGACATTGGGATGACCTGGAATGGTCACCAAAAATGCGCCAAGCCAAGAACAACCCATTTTTGCAGTTTGCATTGTTTGGCCGGGTATTGTCTTGTGCTTTTTGGACTAGATATGACTCATTCTGTTGATGGTCCTTTTCTTCGGATTCAAGTGATTTGTTGTTGCTTGCAGTTCCAAATCTGTCGGAAATCACCATGACGGGTATGTCTTTGAATGATGGCTATGTGTTTGAACAGATGAAAGACACTTGCGAGGACGACACATCCCAAGATGTTGTAAGCGTTTGTTGAGGACATTCTGCAACGTCCATCGATCCATCCATTCATTTATACACATCTAATACATATTCCATAGATTTCCATAGTTTATATATATATACAATATGATACAATAGGAACGTATACATGACATACATACATTCACATGGGTATATATATATATATACACAATAGATACTCTCCGGTAATTTATCCTGCCAATGAAACATCATCCATTTAGTTCGATGATTATCCCTGATTATCCCATAATATATGTTTGATTGAAAGTTTGGATTTTCCAGCCAACACTCTTAATTTACCAGAATGTGTATGTAATATGTATATATATATATATATATATTTGATCAATATACATATATATATATATATGTACCATATGTTATTACAATATACATATTTTTGTTTAATTACATACATCTGAGTTTTTATATATATATATATGTTAGCCATATTATGCGTTTTTTTTTTGATCTCATTTATAAACTGTATTTCTTGTGCCCTCGCCGTGGCTCCTGGTGCCAGGAATTTCCCAAGTTGGTCAACGACCCTAAGGCGCTGGGTAAACCGGAAAGTGCCGGGTGTGTCACCCCCCTGGGGTGTGTCACCCTGGGCTTGCCATGGAATCATGATAACGGATTATTAGGGTTGTTAGTATATGTTGTTATTATTTGGGTTATTATTTGGAATTATAGCGTTTTTTTTTTGAATAGTGTAATCAGTTTAGTAGTATTGTTGATTCTATTCAAAATTAGTTATAATATGAATGTATGATGTTATTTTTAAACTAGTGACGAACTAGTGATAGTTTCTTATTTTAGTAATAGCATTATCTATCGTGAGAGCAACAATCTGACACACATCATACTATAAAAAAGTAGGTCATAAGAGCGATCATAGTAGCAATGTTGATTAAAAAACAAGATGATACGGAGACTGTGGGCATTTTTGGCAATCGCACTGGCCCGCACCACAAATGAGGACATGGACGGATATTCTTCATGGCTTGATGGATCGGGGTGGATTGTAACCGATTTCTGAAACATTCAGAGCCACCTCCTGGACCGCACGGCGGATTGCGACCTAAAAATGTCCCTCGAAATCATGTGTCTTTAACTGCTGGAAGGGGTATAAGACATCCGATGTAGATGTATAATATATATATATATCGAAATGATGAACATGGTCAATCATCCGGCATAAGATGCACTGACCGTGTACTCGTTTCACAGTTTGCACAGTTGAGACTGGCTCAAAAATCTCAACAAGGTTCACTCCGGATTTGTTTTTTTTGTTGTACAAAAAATGACCAAATTAGTGGATACATTGGTGCCCACAAAGCCAGGTGAATTGGCTGTAAATCCACCTATCTTGAAGAACGCACCCATACAATCATCATTCATATTTACAGCTGAACTGTTCATCTTTGATAAGTAAATAGTGTCATCCAAATATATACTATATATATATATCACATCCTTTTGAATCCCCATACTTTGCAAGGCGAGGCCCCCCAGTTACTGTATGTTTTTTGGCTTATAAACCCATTAGGTAGTTAACCCAAACATTAACCAAGTTTTGCGCACCAACATTGCCATCTAGAGGGCCCCAACGTACGAAAATTCATGATGCACCCATTGTTTCCGGATGAACTGCCATCATTTACAGATGATTATTCCTAATTTTGATATTGAAATTCCCATTTTGTACCAGCTGAAGCTGTGTAGGTCAAGGCTATCGTGGTGACCGGCAAGGGCAACATGTTCTGCGGAGGTGGGGCCTGGCGACACCGTGACAACGGAGGTTGATCAACCATTGGTATATGATTTTACCAACTTGACTGGAGGTTTACCAGCAATTTTACATGAGTTGAACAACATTTTAACCCTTGGTTGGTTTACCCTTGATTTCATCGGCCAAAAAAGTGGCTGTCCAGCAGAGAAAATCATTGAGAAGACGGTTTTTTGACCAAGGACATGGGAGATTGAACAAGGACAATGTTGATTTCGCCAGCCATGTTTTCAGTGGCTGATGTTTCTCATCATTTCCCCTAGGGCCAGCAACTCCCTTGATCCGCTGGTTACTCACCGTTATCCCACTCAAAATCGCGATAGTTCAGACACACCCATGTCATGATTTAGGGGGACTCACAAGTTATAGCATGTATTCACAACCCAGAACAGAACTCGGTTCAACCAAGAAATTGGGTTTGCAACAAACCCATAGGGCATCGTGTACTCCAAGAGAATGATATACATCATTTCTATTCATTTCTTTTCTCGTTTGGCTTTCATGATTTTATTGTTTGGGAAAACACATCCCATATGTATATATATATATACACTATATAATATTATATATATAGCATATTATTTATGGAATATACATATACTGTAACATAATATGATATAATAAAATAAAATAAAATATAATAAAATATAATATATAATTTATAATACAATATAGATTGTATACAACAGAATCATATATATATATATATACAAAAATATTTTTGTTTTTTTATAGAATACTGATATATTATAATATACAATATTCAGTATATAATATATCAAATATAACATGTAATATATATAATTTAATGAATAAATAAACAAAGATATATATATAACATGATATTTAAGATTTAATATATCATATATAATATATAATTCAATAATTTAAAACAATATAAGTTAGTTCACACTTTAATATATATATATGTTTATTTTTCAATCTATTTTATATTATATAATAAAACATAATATAAGGTGTACCTATTTTTTAAAATATGTAAAACCATTTCAAAAAATACAATATCATATAACATATGTAATTTCATTTGCTATTTGATACAATATAGAAAATAATATGTGATATAATATATAACATAATATGTAATATAATTTAAAATGTAATGTTTAAGTTAGTATTTAATATAATAGAATTTAATGTAATATATTATATACTATAAAATGTAATTTATAATATAGTATATGTTACAATATGTTAATTTATTGTTAATATGTTATATTTTGTATGTTACATAGTATATAAAATATAAGATATTTTAAATAATATTATTTATTGTATATTATATTTTATTATTCAATATATTTACATTATTTATTAAATATTATATATTGAATATATATATATATTATATTATTTATTATATATTATATATTATATATTATATATTATATGTTATATATTATATATTATATGTTATATATTATATATTATATAATTTATTTTATATATTATATATTATATAATTTATTTTATATATTATATATTACATTATTTAATTATAATTATATATACATTATAATCAATACTATGATATAATATAATATATTATGATATAATATAATTTATGATGTTATTTAATATAGTGTATTTTGTAATATTTAATACACTTATATATATAGATACACCGTGATATCGCCATGATTCTTAGATGTTTAGTTTCTGAACCTCAAGGTGCAGAAATCACCGAGTTCGCCATCATGGTCGCCATGGGACCCGAGAAGATGAAGGACACGTCGGACCCGTAGGCTCCCACCGTAGATGGCAAGATTTCATGGGAAAAAAACACATCGGAAACATGGAAAACAGCGACATGGAAAATGGCCCAGTCGAAATAGTGGATTTACCCATTGAATATGGTGATGTTCCATGGTTATCTGTTAGTTTACCAGAGGGTAATATTCACTTAATATGATTTGGATGAAGGTTTAATGAAATGTTAGTGGGAAATTCATGGTTTCTGGCTAGAAATGGGGATTTGACATGACTTAACCAAGAAGATCATGTGAGTTAACCAACGCTACTTGATGGTTCATCCCAGTTAGTAAGTCCGTTTTAACCCCTTTATACATATTATAATTTGCATTATACTACATAGCCTACTTATAACTATTAACTGGGGTTATAATCCAATTACTACCTGGGATGAGCCACCAAGTAAACTCAGTGAAAAACGAAAGAAACTCAGATCATGAAGTTTCTTCACCACTTGGGATTCAGGACCAGAAATTAGGATGCAACAATCCACAAATATACCACAGTTTCTTCAAAAAGAGACCTCCATTCGACGTCCATTCGACCCGTACCCGTGGCCGGAGGAGAACAACCCCGTGGCCGCCCTCAGTGAGATGATGGACATGATCGATGCGTCTCCCAAGACCGTGGTGGCCGCCCTGAATGGACCTGCATTGGGTGGCGGGGGCGACTCTCGGATGTTGGAGTTGGAGGAGTTGGAGGAGCATCTTTTCCAGCCCAAATTGGGTGGTTTTTCATGGTCTGAGTATGTTGATTTACTAGGATTTACTAGGATTTACTAGGATTTACTAGGATTTACTGATATCAGACAGGGTGAGAAAGAGATGAGTAGCGGGCAAGTCACCCTGAACATTGGGGAACTTGGATGCCTGTTCCGAGGATGATCATCCATGTTTGATTTTGTTTCAGCATATTTCAGGCACCACAAAAATGAGGGACCTACCAAAGTCCAAGATGCCCAATGTTCACCACGGTCATCGAGTGCCTACAGTTCCTTGTGCTACCAGTATGCTGTAAGCATGTTTAAAATTTCCAATGCCGATGTTTTTCCCAATGACATTGCCATACAATAATATCATAAAACTGATGTTTTTTTCCACTTATAATTAGTTTCCATATGTTTTCCCAAGATTTTCCATGGTTTTCCTCATTGTTTTCATCGAAATTTATGATGTTTCAATGTGTTTTTTTTCCATATGAGTAACCGACAAAATTAGCGGAAGACTAAACTAGTAGGGAGTGAGTGGACTAGGGATGTTCAAATTTTGTGTGAAAACCTTCACAACCGATAGGGGACCACCCACTTTGGCCATGTCCATTGCGAGTAGTAATTTTGTCCGCCGCTCATATAGATATGTAGTATAATATATCAAACCAAATTTTGATATGTAATATAATATAACAATATATATATATATATTATAATATATAACATTATATATAATATAATACATGTATAATATGCATGTTTATGTTTTACCAACTATATATATATATATATATCCGCTGCTCACATGTGTTCCCAACGGCCATCTTTCATCCCTGCCGTTGACGTCAAGGAAGTGAGCTTGGCCTGTCACTACCGTGTGGCCTCGCCCCAGTCCTCGGTGGGATTTCCAGAGGCGGAAAGAAATGGGAAAAATGGAAGTACTTATGTATTATATGTGATTGGGAATATTTGAAAGTACTCCAATAATATATATATATATCTAATCTATTTATATATATATATATATTTCTATTTAGATTATGTTTAACACAAACATATGTATATATATATTGTATATATATATGTTATGTGTTAATATATGAAAAATATAATGGGGATATGGTATGGGAATACCCAGATATACCATATACATCCATATACCATTATATATATATAATAATATATGAGATAATGGGGGAATGTGTTAATAATGGGTATATATATATAGTTGGTACCTAGTACCTGGTAACCTCAGGACTGGTATATAATTAGCAGTCCATTCTCAAAAAACACACCTTTCTTTCTAGCGGGCGGGAGAAAAGAAGCACTCCAGCGGGGACAAATACGCTGATGTAGCGACTGCGTTCGCATTGCGTTCAAATAAGGTTCAAAAAACGTTCAAATATGTTCAAACATTTTAATTGAATTTGCATTCAGCGCATCCTTTGGGGCGACAAAAACCGCTCAGGAGTGACTTTTTGAGCGTTGTGGAGCGTCAAAAGAAAGCATAATTTGTTGGAAAAAGTGACTTTTTGAAAATGGACCGGTCATTACCAGTGTGCTGGCAATGGGATATACCGATATACCTTTACTGAAAAAACTGAGCATTTCTCACCCAGCGTCTTTGGTCATGAATTGATGGGCAAAAAGGTTTTTTTTTTGGTCAAACCACTGGATTTTGGATGATAATTTTCCCAGACTTTCGAAGAGGTTGTGCCGGCGTTACTGTAAAGTGCCATCTTGACTTTAACCCAAATTACCCTCTGGTAAACGTTTACATAGCTATGGAAAATCATCATTTTCAATGGGTAAATCCACTATAAATGGCCATTTTCAATAGCTATGTTAAATTACCAGAGGGTACTTCATAGTTCTATAGATCAGCAAGAACGCTGCCATTGACCTGTTCCACTTCAGCAGGGGGTAAAAAAAGGGGACTCTTCAAACACATTTTCGCCGTAAAGGGGTGTGACACTAGACAGCCATGAGCGGATGGGCTGCCAGTTGCATGAGGAAATCTGGCAGTTTTCACACATTCCAAGTAACCTCAAATATAATGTTTTATTCACTCACTTTCACGCCAAATTCGCGTTGTCTTTCACGCACTTTTTACGTTTTTTTTGTTGGCACCACTTGATTCTCATTGAAGTGTGAACACAATCGCTGATGATGCTCACAAGAAAAGGTGATCATGCCTGCATGGTTTGATATGTTGGTCAGTAACAGTATATTTCTAGGTGATTAATAGTGAGCATCTTGAGCCCTCCCAAGTGAGCCATTTTACGATGCACAGGGAAAGGAGGAATGATCAACCAATTTTGAAAGTACTTTGTGAAATTAGCAAAGGTGCCAGTTAAACGAGAACTGGGAAGTTCAGGGATGAGTGGAATGGGGGTTCCCTATTTTCAGACAAACCCCAATATCCATATTCTATGACCATCTAAGTACATTCGGTGGGCCCACCTTGTAGGGAAAAGAGTTTTCTGCATCTAAATTTGGGGTAGCTGATTCTCAGAATTAGTTATCACCAATAGGAGATATCACCAAACCCCTATGATTAAATCTACATAAATATACTATCTAATTAGTTATCACCTAGTTATTTATTGGTTATCACCCATATATAAATGGATATCACTATGGTGACAACCCGCATAGGTTGGGAGATGGGGCCCCTCGATCCACGTAGAACGGCAGCGACCAAGTTGACTTGGGCCTCACTATTCGAATGGGATAGTAGTCATGATAGGTGAATTGGTGGTTTTCTTATGATAGTTTCAATTTCATGTAATTATGAATCACTTGAGCCAAGTGGCAGTTTTTCTAAAGCCAGAAATCACTTGTCAACTAATATACGCCTCAATGGTATTGAAATTGGGTAACATGATATCTCCAGATTTTGTTGGTTACCCTCTGGTGATTTAACATAGCTATTGAACATGGCCATAGAAATCGTTGATTTACCCATAAATAATGAGATTATTTTCCAGAACTATGTAAACGTTTGCCAGAGGGTAAATCCCATTAGATCACCATTAAACCATCATAAAATCCCATTAAATCAGCATTAAAACACCATTAAACACCATTATATAAAGCTCATTAAAACCCATTCAATCTCATTAAAACCCATTCAATCTCATTAAGTCACCGTAAAATCCCATTAAATCACCATTATATCCATTATATAAATCTCATTAAATCACCATGAAATCACCATAAAATCTCCAAATTTCACATCAATGGGCCAGGTGAAGTTGGGTCTACTTCCAGGTGCTCAGGGAACTCAAAGGTTGCCTCGTGTGGCGCCATTGCCCACTGTGGGGTGACCCATGGGGTTCGTTCACCATGAGGCACTCCGAATCCCCATGGGATGAACCCGACTTATATATGATGTATTATGTATTTAATATACATGTTGTTTATCATATACTATACGTGTGTATATATATATATATATGTTATAGTATATATATAATGGTATATATATATATTGTAAGATTATGTGGGATATGTGTTTTTGATTAGACGATATTATTGTCATTGTATATTATATATACACATTGTAAGATTATGTGGGATTTGCTTTTTCTTTGATTAGACGAGGCAATTGGGATGTAACCAAGGATGAATGGTTGATGGTTTCAAGGAATGTTAATGGCAATCTCCCCAAATGGGATGGCGAAGGGTTTGTAGCTTCTGTGGTTCATTGCTCTGAATGGAATTTGTCGCCATGCCATAGATCTGATTAAGAATGACCTTAGGGAATCAGCAAACCTTGAAGCCTTGATGCATGGACATTGGACACAGTGAAGAAAAGTTGATGGGATGATGAGTGTGAACAAAATGGTGAGCAGAATGAGAAACATAGGACTAATATACTACAACAAGTGTAATTATATAGGTGGAAACCTTAGGTACCCTCATGTTCACTGAGTATTCACGTGTTTCCAGCCAATGGTGCCTAACGGTTTTCTTATGAGCATCCGCTGGTATTTGTGCCAATAAGCACGATGTCACTATATATTCTGGTAAAAGTTTATTCTTGTTTAATCCAGATTTAGCGGCAAAAAGCAGGTGATGGCCACCTCGCCTTTTTGCAGTTTGGCCCTGCAAACAACTTCCTTTTTGCTCATAACTATAGTATGCCATCGCGTGCAGATGACTTGAGCTGGTTAGTACACCAAATATCCTACCCTCTGGTAATTTAACAATGGAACATCACCATTTTTGTAGTGATTTTTTCCATGAAAAATGGTGATTTTCCACAGTAGGATTCACATGTTGAGGCGATGCAGATGATCCTACAGGGTAATCCATTGAACGCTCAAGCTGCCAAGAAGAAACTTGGGCAATGGCCACGGGGAAAGGTAGGTGTTGTGCATCTACAGATGGATGGATGGATTCAAACATATCTGAGAATCATACCCAGCTAAGAAAGATATGTTGCGGTTTCGTTTTTTTTTTTCCATCCTTTGGGATCACTCCCGAAACTGGACCGGTTTAGCTGCAAGGATCCCTGGCGGGAGTGGCTGCAAGCCCTGTGAATCAAACCAGTAATGCCCAAATGTTGTGTTGGTTGATGATTAGATTGGATTGGCTGAGGTATGATTAGGCTAATGGATTTTATGAAGTTTCCTTACCTTACTGATGTCAGATGCCTACCTTACATGATGTCAGATGCCCGTATTATCGACCGTCCAACACGGGGAAAAGACAGTGGTCCATCATGGAACGCATATCACCATACTTGATGGTTCGTTGATGTGGGATCAGTCCAAAATCACCATCTGGTTGGTGGTTTAAAACATGGCTTTTATTTTCCATACTATATGGGATAATCCTTCCCATTGACTAATTTGTTTCAGGATGGTTAAAACCACCAACCAGCCATTGATTTCAGCTCGGTGGATTATATATGACATTATACATTGCCAGAGCGTCAGTTAATCGCTCCAATTTGTTACATGTTGATACAAGATTGTCACTGTGTTTATACATGTCCGTCATTTCTTCTTTGTTATGCTTAGTATACCCAGAATTCCTAAGTCTGTTGGTCAACAAAAACCCCCCTGTAAACTACCAGGTGCAAAACCCCCACCCTTCGTAGATCATTTTGGCTATCAAATCATGGCTATCCTGAAAGGAACGGCATCGTTGACGTCGTGGCCAGCAAGGATGTCATCGAGGTGCGTTTTTTTTTTTGTATGGTTAAGATGAAAACTGTTAAAACTGTTGTAGAGAAACATGAATACATGTAACATACACATAAGATCATATAAGTACATGAACAACAAAATGTGTAGTAACTAGTACATATAGATAATTATAATATAATATAATATAATTATAATATAATATAATATAATATAATATGTATATATAAATATATATGTACTAATGACATATACCACACGCCTATTATTTGCATATATATATATATGTACATATTTGTGATAAGCAACATATACTGATCAAAACGGTCACAAGATGTGCCAAACCCACTTTTCAGCACGCCAGGAAGCGGCAGACTTTGCGTTGAACCATCGACCTGCACCAATCTCCAAGAGGGAGGTGCACAAGACCAACAGGCGCGAAAAACCACGGCGCGGCGGGTACTGGGGGATTGAGAACGATTTGCAAATGATCTATGTTGGTGCCCCCATTTAATTATATAATCATCATTCTCCCTATGAAAATGCTTTTTTTTTGGGATTTGTTTTTCATGTTTTATGTTCCCCATAACCCCATTTTACCCGACACATTTTCCAAGGGCTTTTCCATGCAACATTCCGGTTCTACCCGGTAGCCACGTTCCGCCAGGTTCATGGTGGCTGCTGGAGGATTGGAATCTGGCCTGAACTCGGCGGTGAATGCTGCCCCACTGATGATCGCTCCCAGGTGCAAAACGCCTGATGGTCGGTCGATGTCGATGTCGGTCGCCGCAAGTTGCGTCCCAGTCACTTTTTGAAGTAGGGATTTTTTTGTTTATATGGTGTTCTCATGAAATTACTGTGAATTTCACTGGTTTGATTGTTTGAGCCATTTCCTTTGCGAACATTCATTGTTTATGGCAGATGAGGTTCCGAACACGCCATTTATTAGTGGTTATATAAACCATTTCACCACTTAAGCGGCGACCTTCTCAGTGGCTGACCTCGCTGGCCAAACCGGGTGTCCCGAAGAATTTGTTCATTTCCAGTGGAATTTGAGGATGATTTGAAATGATTTGCCCAGAAGTCTGGTTTGGTTTGGTCGAAAATACTGTTGGACTATTTTTCTCAATCTTAAGAAGCAGTTACCATCAGGTATTCAGATTAGCCATCTAGTTTGTCAAATCTGTATTATTACCATATATTGGGGAATAAACACCCATGAACCAACTATTTTAGGGTGCCTAATTTCCAGAGTTTTTTTGGCATCACATCAGAGCCAGGTCTATCATCAAGTGCTTTGAAGCTGCCTGCAGCAACAAGTCTTTCCGGGAGGGCCTACAGGTGAGAGCGGTGGCTGGGAGAACAGCCCTTTTGCGGTGGCTGAAAACACACACTGTTTTTGGCAAATCGATGTTTTTTTCGGATGTTTAGGTGCTCAACGTTAATAATGATGATTGTTCTTCAAGTTCCCATTTTTCATGGTGAAAATTGGTTGGAATCCTGTCCTATGGAGACAAGTCATAGGATTGGAAATTAGTTGCACACAACATCACCACATGATTTTTCGCGATTCGTTCTGGTAACCCATCCATTGCTGAATGTGTGAAATATGCTGCGGAATGCCCGGGCACTTCCAACACGTTTCCAAAACAACACTGAGCAATATTTGAAAGCTCATGTGGCGTCATGCCAATAATTGTCCAATGGCCTAACGATGCCCAGCAGTTTGAATCTGTTTTCAATGTGACATAGATTCGATGGGTTCTACAACCAGTATGGTCATGCAGTTATGCATAGTTCACAAAGTTGCAAGTCAATTTATTCATCCTGATTGGTTTGTACCCTTTAGCAACCCGCCATTCAAGATTATGCCTGCGGACCGAAAACCGTTCCCGTAAAACACACGTTTTTGAATATCGCGATTGTGGGGTGGGGTGGGGGGGCATGTTAACGTTCCTTGTACTTCGTACATGATATATTGCTAGCTGCTAAGATCTCTGGATTGTTTACTACGTTACATGTTGCTACGCTGCTGAGATCTCTAGTGTGGGTTGGGGTGGGTTGGGGTGGGGTGGGGTGGGGGGGCATGTTAACGTTCCTTGTACTTCGTACATGATATATTGCCATGCTGCTAAGATCTCTGGGATTGTTTACTACGTTACATGTTGCTACGCTGCTGAGATCTCTGGGATCGTTTACTACGTTACATGTCGCTACGCTGCTGAGATCTCTGGGATCGTTTACTACGTTAAATGTTGCTACGCTGCTGAGATCTCTGGTATCGTTTACTACGTTAAATGTTGCTACGCTGCTGAGATCTCTGGTATCGTTTACTACGTTACATGTTGCTACGCTGCTGAGATCTCTGGGATCGTTTGCTACGTTACATGTCGCTACGCTGCTGAGATCTCTGGGATCGTTTGCTACGTTACATGTTGCTACGCTGCTGAGATCTCTGGTATCGTTTACTACGTTACATTTTGCTACGCTGCTGAGATCTCTGGTATCGCTTACGACGTGACATGTTGCTACGCTGCTGAGATCTCTGGGATCGTTTACTACGTTACATGTCGCTACGCTGCTGAGATCTCTGGCACGTAGTGAGTCTCATGGCAAACCACCTCCAGAATCTTATGCTCGAATCCAGCGAGCAGGCGCGTTAAATTTTCTCATGTCCAAGCTGAATGGACAAAAGACAGTTTTGATGACTGATGGTGCAAAATGCTACAGCCGCATTGCATCCGAATGTGGTGTGATGTTGTGCAGTCACTCTCAGGGTAGCTTTGTCAAAAAGGTCACCAGAAACCGGCAGAATCTCAGCTGCCACACTGGCACCATAGATTCTATGTGGAATCTGATGAAAAAGTCAATTCCCAGCAACTTGAGTGCCAAAAGTGACCTCTTGATGGTGTATGCTAGAGCTTGGCAATGGAGATGCATTCACAAGAATGCTGACTGCCAGCTGTTTACTACGCATGCGTTGCAGCGATGACGCTGAAAAACGAAAAAACGCGCCCCAAGTTTTTCCAGGATTTCCAATCATCAAATCAGCACGGCACTGTGGTAAAATCACTGTTTTTTTAAAAAATGTGCGTTTTATGGGAACGGTTTCCGGTCCGGCGGGAAGATTATGTATTCAATATGTTTCAATTAAGTATTCTATAATTACTAGACAGGGATTTTGTTAATATGGATTCTGAAATGGACATGTTCTCTAAAATATGGCTATCCATGGCTATCCGCTTTTCCCAGATTTGGGATGATGGTTGAATCAAGTGCCAGGTCGAACAGGAAGAGTTCACCAAGTTGGTCTTCTCTGTCCCTCGACCGTATCGTTTTTCGTAGCCCTGGAGGATGGCTGAAACAGCAAGACGTGGTGTTTTTCGTTGGGGGAAAGGTATATGAAACATGTGTTACATTGGGAATATGTATACATATATGAACTATTGTGAACTATGAAAATTTGAGAAAACTTTGAACCATGAAATTGGACAAAACATGGCAAAACTGTATCTGACATCAACATGTGGCACCTCTTGAGACACCTGAGATCTCTCTCGGACTCGGTAGCTAGTTGAAAAGCCAGTCGTCCCCAAGACTCTGAATATAGATATCGAGTGTACATACAGAATATGTATATATAGATTTATACATAATCATATATATATATACATATGATATGTAAATATGTACATATCTTAGAACATTACAGTAGCGATTATGTATCATGTACGTAGTGCAATGCAATGTAATGTAAATGAAAGGTACATGCCGCGATCTAAAAAAAATACATTCCTTCTTGGATGGGCGTCCCCGAAAGTGGCCAATACATTGGGACATGAATTCAGAACTACTGGCTGACTGGCTGCAGTGGCTGGTAGTTGAGATTGTTCACTTCATGCTTTCATCCCTTTATCAATGATAGGATCCCGATTCCTTTTTGACTCAATCATATTATAATATATATATATCCAAATATCAACCTGTAAATCTATAATCCGTTACGAAATATCGATTTTCCATCAGTTAAAATCAATATCACCGTCAATTATGCTATCAAACACATATTTCACGCGGTTTTCATGTTTTCCCTTTTTACATTACATTTTACATAGCCTCTGATTTTTAACATAGCTATGTAAAAAACAAAAAACAATCTTATACTTATAACTCCAATTTCACTAGGGTTTATGGTAGATAGATCCATACAGTCTAGTTATTATATAGTTACTATACTATACTATATTATATTTATGTCACAATACTATATGTTACTATGGATACTATAGTTTATTATTGACCAGATGGTCTTCAGAATTTCCATATCGTGTTAAAACTAGTTATGTTTGTTAGTTTATAAATTTATAACCCCCATGAATACCAGTTCGTTATCTAGTTCGTTATATCTACCATGTTCACCAGAGTTTTTTTTCAGCCAACCCCATCCGCAGGTGGAGAGCGCCGCCCTGCGGCATTTGTTCCTCTCCGAGCGCCTGGCTCAGAAGGTCCCGGGCGTGGACGAGAAGCCGCTGCCGCTGAAGAAGATTGGCATCTTGGGCGCGGGCCTGACGCTTGTGCGATGAAAAGGGCAGGGCCAGTGGTTACGAAAATAGGGATAGATAGGATGGAAGAACTCCAATTTCACTAGGGTTTATGGATGTTTATGGATGTTTATGCTAGATATATCTATATACTTACTAATATTAAACGCCCCATTTCTATGGTCCCAATGGAATGTGGAAATTCCAAACGTCAAACCATGGTTTTGTTTAGGGGGTGTTTAATATGAACGGGGGAAGGGATTACTAAGAAAATTGGGATAGATAGGATGGAAGAACTCCAATTGAGCTAGGGTTGATGGTAGATAAATCTATATACTTACTATAGTGAAAAAGTGAAAAAGGATGGAAAACAGAACATCTATAAATGGGACGTTACTAATTTTCTGGTGAAACATGATGGAACAAAAAAACATTTATAAATGGGATGATGGGAATGGGGTGGAAATTGGAAAATAAAAACCTCAGATCATAATGATTATTCAGGTGAATGCTTGGAATTCAGCCAGACGTTATGGTCCTAAGTCTGAACATGGGCTATAACAACCCCCCCCGGTGGCTATTTTGTTGATGGCCTGGTACGGCTAAACTTGAGGTAACGCCAACAATATATACGTACCCCATAAGAACAGGGATATCATGATGTTTTTATGTGTGTTTTTTGGAATGAACGCAACTTTATACTTAACCAATAATATGAGTTTATTGATAGTTGGTGTGTATACCCCAAACTTTGCAATTCTATTTGAAGCATAACAATAGTCCAGTTGATTTTGGGGTATTCTATTCTCAGACAAACCAGTTATGTAAGCAGGAGTTATGTGATATAACTGTTGAGCCAATTTACGCTTGGCAACAATTCTTGGTAAATATTGGTTATTAATAGACATGTGCAATGTCCAATAGAAGTTCAACAACAATGAGCTTGGCGATGGGCGGAACATTATTTGGCCTTCACCAGCCATTTAATGAGAATATATCCATGAAACACAACCGGGATTTTTCATGCTCACATAAGGATTGACGCATGGTGGTTCAAGCATGTGGTGATTACATGGGTATCTTCGCAAGATGCGTAAAAAAAGGCCCCCGCGATCTTCGACTTCACAAATTACATGTGATAGTTGATGTTAAGGGGAATCATCCCAATAATGCATCGATGTAAGGTGTGTGTGTGTGAATGAACAAACATATTCTATATGTATTGTGTAAGTACATGCATATGCATTATATATATATATATCATATCTACATATTATCTCTGTCTACATATATATATATATATAAATATACATATATATATATACATATATATATATATACACATACAAGAAGACATTTTATCGCCCTTTTTTGTTGAACACTCACTGAGATGCAAATGCTGCGGATCAGGATGGGTGGAGGCATCGCAATGTGCTTTATTCAGAAGGGTGTTCCAGTGGTTCTGAAGGATGCCAAGCAGGACAGGGACATCACTACGTGACGCCCCAGTTGAAGTTAGTTAAGTTGAAATGACTAGTGTTTACACGCTGGTTTATGGCAGATATATCTACTGTATATCAGATGTGTTGATAGACCAACGTGTAACTGAACCCAGCCGGAGGTCATGTTTTTTGTAGGGTGAACTCTGATGAATTATGGATGAAGTATTATTACGGCAAATGAGAACAGACATTTACAATGTGTAGCAAGGATGATCACATATTTTTGGTTAAAATGTTGAGGTTGGGCTTGTTTCACCATTTTGGTGTATCTTTGGACCCGGCAGTTCTTGACGGGTAGTTTTCCTGGGTGAGTCTCAGTGGCACTGTAGCATACCATAGCTGTTGATTGTCATCATGTTCTCTCTCTCTCCCTTTCTGAGCGATTTAGGGTAGTTGAAACCACCTGACAGTTTTCTTTGTTATCTATGTATCCCATTTAGTGGCCGTTAAACCATGTTAATCCCCAATGTTGATTTTGATCATTATTATTAATCAATACATAGTGTTATTTCTTATTATCCTCGTAAGATTTGGGATTGGAAGAAGTTCTACCCATAAAATTTAGCCATAGATTCCCCCTCATAGACTTGAAGAACATCCCAATGATTTCGCTTTAATCCGCAAGGAAAACCCTTCACTGGTTGGTGAAATACTGTACCAGTCATACCATTTCTTGTCGGTTACCCTCTGGTAAACTAACATAACTATGGAAAATCACAATGTTTAATGGATAAATCCACTATAAATGGCCATTTTCAATAGCTATGTTAGTTTACCAGAGGGTAATATATATATATATATATACAGATCCCATCATGTCCCCATGATATCCCCCCTTTTTTCTCCCATAACGATGATCCTGATGGCATCCATCAGAAACGTGTGCTTTCTTAGGCCGGTTGCCTATGGTTGAGGGCATATGCCCGAAACTTTACATTGGAAAAGGGCACCTAAAAAACTTAGGGTCCTGAAATTCCCATTAAATCCCCATAAAATCTCATTAATTCATTAATTCACAGCATTTTTTTCGCTGATCACCGATCACCAGGAATGGCTGGACGGCGGCGTCAAGAAGATCGACTCCCTCTGGGCGGGACGCTTGAAGAAGGGCCTCTTGGCGGGCGACTGGAGTAGGGGAGCAAAAAAAAGCAGCCGAAGCTGTTGTGGTTTCACATGGGATAGGTTTATTTTTACAATATATATATATATACATAATTATACATACATATATACATTATATAATTATATATATATATATGTATCATATGAAATACCATCCTGAAATGGGGATATATGGCCAAGGATATATGTATAATCACAAATATATCGTTTTAGTAAGTGCCATGCTCGAGTTGGGATAGTCATGACGGGTCATGACGGGTCATCCCACAATGGAAAAGTTGGGATATCCTTCATGGTTACCCTCTGGTAATGGCTGACATAGCTATTGAAAATTGTTATTTATAGTGGATTTACCCATTGAAAATGGTGATTTATAGTGGATTTACCCATTGAAAATTGTGATTTATAGTGGGTTTACCCATTGAAAATGGCGATTTATAGTGGATTTACCTATTGAAAATGGCTATTTATAGTTGATTTACATAGTAAACATGGTGATTTTCCATAGCTATGTAAACGTTTACCAGAGGGTAATAAGGGACATTATCCCCAAATGGCCTCAATTCAGGTTGGTGAAATATGATAATTTGCCAAGATATTTGTGTATTGCTACCTTGTTGATGACCCCAAGCAATCCAAGCAATCCAAGTTCCATGGCACATATGGAGGGTGATTCGACCAAGAAAGCTTGGGATTTGAGCATTTATCTGTTTTGTTTTTGTGTGGAAAAAACGACGACTTCGAATGTTTGAACACATGTTGTGGCTATACCGTGTCCTTCTCCGATGGGTTTTCAAAAGCCAAACATATTCTGGCTGAGCCGAGGGTCTCCAAGCATATACCAACAATTGCTGGTGCAATACTGTGTGATGATGGAAAGAAAACGACTAGAACGGGCACATCTGCCCGTGTTGATCAATCATCACAAAAAGAGCTGGCCTTTTGGTGCTGTTTCACTTGCCTCTTCTGGATCTCCGAAGTGGCGACTCTAAGCCTGTCAGGGTGTACACTGTGATTTGGCATTTGTCCAGAAATGGGGGATCTAGAAAGGGAAAGTTTCATATGCAAAATGATGAAAAATCACTGGATTTTTTGGGATACCCTTACTTTTAGACAAAACCAGGTACTGTACACTCCAGAAATAGATGACAGCTCCCAGATGTACCACGGTGACGTTTCTTCGGAATGTTCCCCCATGCACCCCACAACTCACCGCTGCACCAGGCAAGTTGAGCAAGGAGAAATATCAGCAGTGCCTTGGCTCCCGGTACCAACTTGGATCGACAGATTTTTTTCATGTCTTCCCGAAAGATTCGGCAGAGTGAATGATGTGTATGTTTGTGTTTGTATATCTTATAATATCATATATATATATATGTATATATATAATATGTTTAAAATGTAGTCATAGGTGTATAGAAATATTATAAATGTATATTTCCCAATAAACATAAGACATCTGTTTGTGCAGCTGCACTGAAACGGCGGACCGGTTGAGCCTTTCATCACGAGAGTTTCATAATCCGATTTTTGGGTGAATCTCCATGAATCTCCGAGTCTGATTGGCTGATTCTGTCCCTTATGGAATGAATCATAAAAACATATATACTGGTTGCTTGGTTTGGAACATGTTTTATTTCTCCATATATTGAATATATTGGGAATAATAATTCCAACTGACGAACTCATACTTTTCAGAGGGTAGGTATACCACCAACCAGTACAGAATTCCGGGGAGTTTCAAGACTTCTCCCCCAAAATGGCAACAATCAAGTCAACTCCGATCTTCCAGTCCTGGCTCCAGTTCGGATTTTGATTTTGCCAGGTTGTACTGTAAATGGTTCATTCATGTTGATTCTATCAGTTTTCAATCGTTTTAACATGTTTCAACTAATGAAAAGCATACAACAAACATTAAACAACATTTGTTTAACTAATGAACATCATTCAACGACCATTTTAAACAACCTTCATTGGCTCACCAGCTCACTTCATCCCCATCGAAATTCCGAGGTACCACAGCTTGCTGAAGCCTACCTTGGACTTTGCAGACTTCAAGGCCTCCTTCTACCGTCGGAGGATGTGAGAGTTGGTTGTGGGACAACCTGTTATCATATAGATATGTAGTAATGTAGTACAATATATCAAACCAATTATAGATATGTTTTACCAAATACATATTATATATCCTTTTGATGATAGTGTAAGTATGGTAAAGAAGTGCTAAGTAGTAAAACCAATTATAGATGTGTGTGTATGTGTCTGTTGAATGGAACACATTACAATCTCCTTTTTATCAAGGGGTAGCGGCCGGAAGACTCAACGTCCAAGGATGTGGACATGGTCATCGAGGCTGTACCCGAGATTATGGATCTGAAGAAGCACCGTGGCGGCACTCCGGCACCAAGCCGTGGAGGTCCATTGGAATGTTGGAATCAAACAACTCAAATTGGTTTATGAGTAGAATGTCCATAAGATTTGCCAACAAAAATGAGAAAAACATTTCTATAGTTTGCCATTGATGTCCACATTTCTATGAAGCATCCATTTTCCTCTGATATTTCTGTGAAATTTCTCCCAAAATGACCAGATCCAATGACCCGTCACGGTACCGTTTCAGAAAGCCACGGTACTGAAATTTCATCAGTTCACACGTGTTGTCCATGGATGGTTGGCTACTAGAAATGACCAAATATTGTATAATTAATTAGTGGATCCCAGTTGGGTACGGCAAACATGGATAGTTTGCTACCAATTTTGCAGCTGACCTATACTGTACTTATAGATTGATAGATGTCCTTTTCACTCTGCTTGAGGAAAAAATAGGAGTGGCAGCGCATGTTTTGCAACCAACATGCAAAAGGATCAAAATGGCATACAAAACAATTTTCACCAAGAGGATATGTAGACAACTCATATCAATTCATAATGCCCTCATATACTACTTGTACTCATAATATCTTGCCAACTGGCAATCATTGGGACAACCAACTGGAGGTTTCCAATTTATGGCTTCCACATCATCAAGTCGACATAAGTCGACTATGTCATACTATTTCCAGTATTGAAACATCTTGAAACCCATGGTGACCCGCGGGATGTTTTGAGTATCCATGACTTAAAAAAAAAACTCCAAATCTTCGATCCATCCAGCGCCAAGGCAATGCTTTTTGGACATCGAGCTGCTCATTTGATCAATGCCGAAATCTATAAACATATGTAAGATAATATATATGTATATATATATATATGTAAGATAATATATATATATATATATATGTAAGATAATATATATATATATATGTATATATATGTATATGTATATATGTACATGTACATGTACATGTTCATATCTATATTAATCATTTATATATATATATATGCAGGAGAAGATCTTCATTTCGGGGTTCCAGATTTGACTGACAACTGCTCATTTGAGACTTGGAAAGAAAACACAAGAAACATCTTCACGTTGCGAAAGGAGACTCACAAAACACTGAGATGTCGAGCAGCATCCGAGTCAACAGATACAACCACGAAACTCAATCAGGAAACGAAAAACCAGCCCAGCTGAGGGCCAACACCAAGCCAGATTGACGCTTGGCTGAAATGACCCATGTTCTCAGTTGGTCATACCCATGGTGTGTTGAGAGGAGACCTCCGGCCAATTGCCATGCCATGGGTGTTCCATCATCCATTCTCCCAACAAATTATCCATTATTGTGTATGCCTACAGTGTTTAAAGCTATCACTAATACTTATGGTATAAACATTAAGATATACATCATGAGTATCTATCATGGTCTCTCATTGTTTATAAGTACCTTTCTTTATCTTTCACTATCTATCATTATCTATCGTGAAACCTAGTATACAGTTTAACCTAGTATACCTATTTGCATCGTTATCATCATGATTCCCTTCAACCACTGTAACTGTTCCACTGTACGAGGCCTCATTTGCACCAACACCAGCGGCTTGAACATCGACGACATCGCCGCTGTCTTGAAGGATCCTAGCAGAGTGCCTTGACAATGGGAACATGTGGAAAGTCATGGAAAATTAATGAACATCCTATGGCTTAAGCATGTTCCCTACCAAAAATGTGGTAATTTGGGGGGCTGTACTCCATTTTCAGACAAACACCTGTGACAATTTCAAACTGAAAACCACGGTTTATCATATTAGATGTCAAGCGTATTGTCCACCAATTTCAGGAGAAACCATCAACCAATACCAGTATTATTGGTTTTCAAGAATACCAATGTTCCCATATATTCCACATGTAAGTTGCTTAGATTCTTCTTTCATACCAACCTTTTCCCCCGTTTTTTTCGTGGATTCTGGGTGGTTCAACTGGAACGGGCACAGGTCATGGGTACCCACTTCTTCTCTCCTGCCAATGTCATGCAGCTTTTGGAGAACGTTCGCACCAGCCGCTGGGAACGATGACATGATGAACAGCTGTGCTGTTCAGTAGGAATGATATGGGTGAAGTTCGGGGAAGCCGTGGTTCCGATTTTTTTTTCGTGTTGATGGAGGAATAGTTATAAGGATTCCAGCAAAGACAAACTTTTTGTGAGAAAAAATGCAGCTAGCCATGAAATATAGTTGAGAATGTGCCATTTCCTACTTTTGACGAGGGGCAACAAAATCTGATCCATAATTATACAGTGGAAGAATGCACGTACTGTTTCAGTAGCAACAAGAAATAGCAGAAACAATATGCGTCTGTCCGGGTACAGTAAAGTATTTGTCCCGGTAAACTAATTTCGGTTGGGAATCATATGTATAAATATGTCAAGTAGATTGACATCGTGGCTCCCTAAATCTGCAATTCATGTTTAGTGTTAGGTACTTCACCACACAATATGTGGGTTCCGAACATGAGACAAAACCAAACGGTGACACGTGTACTCGCAAGTGCCAGCTGTCCGAACATGAGACAAAACCAAACGGTGACACGTGTACTCCCAAGTGCCAGCTGGCGGCAAGTGCATAAGCTGGCGTTAGCGTTTAAGAACCCCTAGAGTCAGTAAACAATGATATCCATTGATAATCCTTAACATTCACCATGCCTATTAATGATCCATAATGATCCATTCACCTGAACATCCATCAATGTTGGTGAATTAACCTGACAGAGAGCGTTTCTGTGAGGCAAATCCTCCATCAAGACCCTCTCCACCGGCATGCAGATGGCCAAGATCATTAGCAACCTGGTGTCGTCCGCTACGAAAAAAACGTCAAGACTTTGGGGAGTTTTCATGGGATTGAGTAGATAAAACATGGGGATTTTTCATGGGATTTAATATGGGAATACAATACGTAGAGAGATATATATATATATAACATTTATACTATCCCTCCCTTCCGCCCTGAACTAAATGTAGGTTTGCAAGTGGGTACACCTTTAGAGTCAGCCATGGGTTTAAAGACCCTCTGTGAATGAATGGATGAATTTTGGCAAAAGCAATCATAATGGGGATACAATCCTGACATAATGGGGATGTGAATGAACATCCATTGGCCAGCTATTTTGGTGTTCACCAGAGTACCAGAGTTTTGACTCCTATCCAGCTGTTCTCCCTTTTACTCAAATACTTTCCATCGCTATGTGTTCACTTCTGTTGCTTTTTCCGGTTGATCCATATCCAAATTTGGCCGAAATTCGACATGTTTAAGATTGGCTCCAAAAACGAGAGGCTGTTGCCCCAAGAAAATCCAACACAGTCGTGGAAATCCATCCAAACATAAAGCCCTACTTTAAGAACCAAAAGCCATTCCAAGAGATTCAAATGCAGCCAAGGCAAGAAAGCTGTGATGGTCGGCAACTGTACCCTGGCAGTGAGGTTTGGGGTGTCCCATTCATTGCTGCTATAGTTTAGATGTGGCAATGTAGATGCATACATACACATATATTACATATACAGATACGTATACATATACATATTCATATGCATATATGTATATATATATATATACACATATGTATACATGCAACATGTGTACTTCTGTATAGGTACTGTATGTATATATATATATAACTTTATTGATTGATGTATATCATAGCATTGCTTATCAAAGTATTTGTTCATACATGCCCTTTTCCTTCTGTTTGGTTGATTAAGAGAGGGGTGCGCCATTCATTTTCAACCAAAGGAGGTGGAATGGCACCAAACAGATGGCGTCATTGGCATCTTCTCTTACTTCTGCGATTTCACCAAACTTCAACGCCTCTTTCTCCAAGTGAAGGTTTCCTAAAATAGGGGTACCCCCTTGCATCATCCATTTATAGATGGATTTTTCATGAAATAAACCATCTAGCTATTGGGGTACCCCCATTTACAGAAACCTCCAAGGGTTGATTCAAATTTCAAATTGCAAGTTCCTGATGAAGTCTTGCACTCTCAACACCTTCAACTCACATGTAAAAAAGACAGAATTTCAAACGATTTGTATTCATGTGTTGTGGCTCCATTTGCAGCGCTGCAACCCTCAGAAAAATGGAAACATAGTGTACTGTTCATCAACATTGAACCTTGACCTTGCTATTCTTGTTGGGCTTAGTAAAGAGGAAAAGCATTTCTCAATGTAGTTGCTATAGTTTTCATCCATACCCAAATCCCTATTTCATTAGAGCCCAACTAAATGAAGTGGGATGAAGTGGGAATCGTCATACTATCCCAATCATCATCTTTATTTTTACTATAGTCATTTTGCATTTTTTAAATTTGCACCAACATCTCCCCATTTGCAATTTTAGATGAACTATGAATAATAGCCAGTTTTTTGGAGCAATTGCTGGAATGATAACCGTTCCATGTTGTTGGTGATATTGTCCCACCATGTCCCAATTGGTACAACAAGAAAACCGCTTAGTAAGACCATTAGTAATTAACATCATTAGTAGCTACTTCCGTAGTGATATTGTTTCAACATATCCACATGAAATCCCTAGAATTGAAGGTGCAGCTCCACTAATTTGCATGTTTTTATTTCATCATAGTTAGTTATAGGGGCCCCATATCCTAACTTGCGGATAATAACCCCCCGCAGCTATGGCCATATAACATATTATAACATCACAAACATCATAAAACTACAGTTATACCATCCCGTAAACTAACATAGATGTGGAAGTTACAAGTCCTAGATCGTTTTCCCACAGAAAACCAGCGCGGTTTTCCACCCAATGAGGCGATGGCTTCGTGGGCAATCGCATGTTGGCGCCTTATGCGGGCGAAGCGAAGATGGTGGCAGAGGAGGGCGCCACCGTCGAGCAGATCGATAAGGTGGGACAGAACGTTTCGGGGTACGTCGGATGGGGAAAATACTTAGCTAAGTTGGTTTGTAATTGTAATATATTGTAATCACAATAGTGTATGATACTATATGTAGATGGGATTATAAACCAACTTATAACTAGGGGGCCCCATCCTGTAATAGTACATAGCGATATGCAACCAGAATGGCTTTGTGGCTATTTATACATCTGTCATCATGTGTGCCATATTATCCCCTACTATCCCATATTGTCCAATATAGTTTAGTTAATGTGGTTCTATTATATTATCCCAGATTTATCATATTAACCCATTTTAGAATTCTGTATTTGTCAATTGTCCCATATGATATGGGATAAATCATATGAAGTCAAATGTGATAAATAATAAATGTTTTGTCATTAGAATCTATAGTTTTCTCGATCGTCGATTATCGTATTTATCGTGATTTCCCAGATTATGCCATATGATCCCATATCATCATATATTTTGCATATTATCCCATAGTTAAACCCTCCAGCTATACAAACATAATAATCATAGCTATACCCATAGGTATAGCACAGTTATACCAGGGAAACAACAAGCATATACCAACATTGTTTCCATATTACCCATAGTTTTCCCCCATAGTTTTCCCATGATTTTCCATAGTGTTACCACATTTTTCCCATATGTTCCATAGTTTTTCCCCATCGTTTTCGCATGTTTTCCAGTGTGATTTCCCCCATCTTTTCATCGCTCGCGGCCTAGGCCGCCACGACCTTTGGCATGGCCATGGGACCCATGGCACTGGGCGATTTGGTGGGCCTGGAGCTCTTCTGGAAGCAGCTTGCCAGGGAAAAAAAAAAATATATATATATGGTGAGATTTAATGTGATTTAATGGGATTTAATGGGGTTTAATACCATGATTTAATGGGATTTAATGGAATTTAATGGGATTTAATGGGATTTAATGGGGTTTAATACCATGATTTAATGGGATTTAATGGGATTTAATGGGATTTAATGGGATTTAATGGGGTTTAATACCATGATTTAATGGGATTTAATGGGGTTTAATATCATGATTTAATGGGATTTAATGGGATTTAACCGTTGGTATCCATATATTGGGAATAATAATCCCAACTGGTTGGTGGTTTGGAACATGGCTTTTATGACTTTCCATATATTGGGAATGTCATCATCCCAACTTACTAATATTTTTCTGAAGGATTGAAACCACCAACCAGATAATATCATGGTATGCCATTTATATGATATATTTATATGTATATTAATGAACACATTATGATATATCATATAAACGGAACAATATCATGGTATTATCATGGTATATTCTGTTTTTTGTTTGACATGGATATATATATATAATAGCTATGTAATAGGTATAATATATATATATGGGTAAATTAGAACGACCTGACTACGACCTCACTAGAATGATGATTAGTAAGGGGAATTATCCCAAAATGGCCTTATTTCAGGTTAGTGAAATATTATAATTTACCCAGATAAATGGTATAATATCATGATCAATGCCCATTCCAGGAACCCAAATTGGAGGTACCTACCAAAATGGCCTTATATGGTACAGTACCTCCATTTTAGGATCCTGGAATTCCCATTGATCATGGTTTCTGTTTTTTTGACATGGGTACATATAATAGCTTTGCAATAGGTATAATATATATATATATACATGTATTACAATATTAGTTACGGTATATCAATGTACATTTGAAATACCACTACGATAAATGTATATCCCCAAAGAACATAGTAAAGTGACATATCACTATGTATATATATATATGTATATATTGATGGGGATTTACTGATTTACTTTTCTATCTTTTTTCGGGATGAATACTGTATATATATATATATATACACATATCCCTGTGAATCCAGCCGTACCTTGTCAGGAAGTGTTTGGGGTATCATTTAAGACGTTAACTCCGAATGGGAAGTGTTTGGATCCATAGGCTGTAAATCGATATATATATATATAAAACATAATACATAGGTACAAGTATATCTACATATTCAATGACATATGTATATATATACATGTATATTTACTATACATACTTAATTACATACATGTATAAGAACATATGTATATATATATACATGCTTTTCTTTATATATTGATATAGATATGTAGAGAGATACGTGTGGATTATCATTGTCATCTCGTAAATGTGTAGATCCACTATTTTTAAATGGCACACCATGTTTGAGCAGTATGTATGTGTATCGGTAGCATCACCACCACATTGTTTGTTTCAATCTTTGGAAATGCTCACCAACCGTGGGTGTGTGAAGATAATTTGACGACCCGCTTGGCCCCACCCAAGCACATCTGTTGTGCAGTGGGGAAATTGTACAGGTTGTTGCCTGCACAAAAGAAATCAAAGAACACATCACAGTGAAAACTCAACCAAGGCTTTGAATTGATATAATTTGATATGGATTTGTCCCAAAATTAGGGCAGCATAAAGTCCAATTAAGGGTTGATCATAATTGTCCCTATTCATCAGGTTTGGGCATACGCATATTTTATGGACAGAGGTGATAGGTGTCCTTCAGTTATCATTGGTTTCCTCAGCACATGTTCCTAAGTGTTTTTTGGTTCTTCACAGTGCTAAGTTTCAATCTTACAGTCCTCCACAGATATGATAAACATGTAAACATGTTATGACAGATAATAAATAAATATATATATATATGGATATACATATATGTATATACACATGGTATTTTATTATTATATATATATAACATATGTGATTCTGTCATTTTTTGGCCTTCATTCCCAATTTGTGAAGCGAAAAAGACATGTTCCATTTGAGGCAGCGTCAAGCGGCTGGTGATATGAACAAGCAGACCAAGACCTACTACGGCGGGCTCCTTAGAAACCAGGGCGTTTGGAATCATCGAACGCATGGGGCTGGCAACATATACGTGTGCGACAAAGAGATGCAAACATGTTTGTATAATGCATATATATATATATGAATATATACTTGTATGTATATACATACACATTATGTATATTGGTTTCAACTATCTCTCTCTACTTATACACATACAGATACATACAGATACATACAGATACATACAGATACATACAGATACATACAGATACATACAGATACATACAGATACATACAGATACATACAGATACATACAGATGCATACAGATACATACAGATACATACAGATACATACAGATACATACAGATACATACAGATACATACAGATACATACAGATACATACAGATACATACAGATACATACAGATACAGATACAGATACAGATACAGATACATACATACACACATACATGCATGCATACATATATATATATATATATATATATGTGCACTCACAAAAAATGACTGATTGTGGACTCCATATCCAATTGATGGCTTTTATACGTGTCATATTGTCTGCAACATTGTCTGCAACCCCGGATCTGGATGGTGTTGCCGGTGAATCCGGTGAACTCCGGAATTGGGTGCTGTTCATCTCCTAGGTCGAGCGGATGCCAACACGATCTCGCCACATTAATAATGAGCTGAATGACGAAGAACATGATTTGTGAAAACAATAGGGACATTGAAACCATGATTCACTAGGATGAGAGGCCCGGACATAGCTAAATTGGTTTCGGACAAAATCTACTATGGATGGTATATATATATCTATATTATATACACATATCATGATATGTCTATAATTGGTAGATGGCTTAAAAATCCACCAACATATCTGGTGAGCTTTACATTGGAGGAATCCCATCAGGACCTTATGAGCTCACCGACTGGCTTTGCGAGAAGGGCCGATTCGGCATCTCAGCTGCGTCTGTGGGGTCTGTGGTTCCTAACGTAGCTAAATGGTGAAAAACAAATTTGGCTGTGTATAAACAATACAGTCTATTGTAATCAGATGGAATATTGTGTGAAAAAAAATATGTCTATATAGACATATACATTATACATGTATGTTTTCAATACACATTTGCAATGTATGTATGTATATATATATATATATATACGCTGATAGTCCTTGAAGCCAGCGCCACCACACCGCCTTGGAAGCCGAACGGTCGTATCAGGCCAGTGGTTATGGTCAAATGGAAATGTGTTTGTAAGATGTACTTATCTTGGTAGAGGTTTAACATTGATGATATGTTGTTTTTTGCATTTTTCAAGGTGGCGACTGAGTGGACTATTTCAGGCCTTAGAACCTAAAACTTTGCAGTTTTTGACAGTCCCTGGATGCTTTAAAACATGCTATCTTCAACCAGTTGTTTTTGATTCAACAGCCGAACCGTGAGTAAGTATCATAATCCGGGCTTAAACGAAAAAGTATAGACAAATTATTTCAATATATGTTAATTCAATAGGTTTATCTATCAGATGTAGATGCACTAAAACACATCTTTGAAATCCCCCCAAAAAAATCATCAAAACTAAACACATGTGTGTTTAAATTCAAACATGTTTACATATTTCATTTATTTAATCATAGGAGAAATCATCCCCGGCCTTAATTCAAGTTAGTGAAATATTCATAATTTACCCAGAAAAAATGTATAATACCATGATAATCAGATAAATGGTATAATAAATGGTATAGGATCCATTAATCTTAAGATCCATCAATGGTGGTGAATACATCATGATCTTTAATCAAAACAACGACATATTTGAAATCCCAGCCATCCCAGCCATCCCAGCCACGTCTTCAACCAGGATTGAAGACGCCGGATCCCAGCATCAAGGCGAGTGCCATCGGGATGTAAGGACCACCTGTAGATTCTCTGTTAGAGTTTTTTGAACAATTTATATATATATATATTATCATATAATATAATATCATATAATATAATATAATATAACATAATATAGGATAATATATAATATAATATGATATACTATAATATAATAACATATAATTTAATATAATATAATATGATATACTATAATATACGAACATATAGTATAATATAATATAACGTAATATACTATAATATAACTTAATATAATATAATGTAATATAACATAATATAATATATATATATATATATTATATTATTATATTTTTATATTTTTATATTTTTATATTTTTATATTATTATATTAATATATTATTATATTAATATATTATTATATTAATATATTATTATATTATACTATATTATATTATTATTATTATTTTTTATGTTATATTATATTATATTATATTTTATTTTATTATTTTTTATATTATATGAATATGTATATATGTTGGATATCTGACATATAGATACACAAATATATATATAATTATATATATACTACTTGGATAAAGTATGAGGACCTCACGCTGTGACGTTGCTGGAATGATGATTAGTAAGGGCATTCATCCCCAAATGGCTGTATTTCAGCTAAGCGGTCCTTTCTTGCGTGCGGGGAAGGGGCCGGCCAAAGAGAAGACCAGTGGCCTTATTTCAGCTATTTTCAGCTTAGTGAGTTTTAGTGAAGTACTATGATTCAGCCAATATGAATTGGAACTATGCGATATTATAGAATTGGTGATCTAACTCCAATAGCCATGGTATAGATGGCACATTTATAGATGGTTTATCTATTAAAAATGGTGATTTTCCATTAAACAAATGTGATTTTCCATGGCTATTCCATCTATAAATCACCAACAACCCAGGGCTGCCCAAGACTCCATGGAGATCGTGTGAGGCCAACGGCCGTGGCGTTTTCATCCATCAGGGACGTGACAAGTACGTGGATCCTGAGGTTGTCGCCAAGATGGAGGAGCCGCAACCAGCTACAACACATGTTCACCTGGCAAAAACTGGATATATATATATAATATATAATATATATAATATATATATAAAATATATAATATATATAATATAATATATATATATATAATATATATATATATTTATACTGTGAATGGGCTTTCACCCACACTGGCAACGGGCTCCCAACCTGCAAAACGCTCAAGCGTGTTTTCCAGCCACGCACTGCACAAAAGTCAGGTTGCCACCTATGGCAAAGGTTTTCGGATATGCTAAGTCGGCCACGACTGCAAGCAAGAGCTCCCTGGCTCTACGGTTTCCAAGGGCGGCCACGCCCAAAACGTATGCAAATGGCTCCGCACAAGCTATCCCACCCAACCGTCTGCCCGTGGGCTCTCCTGAGCCTGCAAGTGCTGTGGAACATGGAAACGGTGATACCTGGAAGCTGGTTGGGATAGCATGTACCTTCAAGACCTTGGATGGGTGCAACGATGATGGATTTACACTCATCAAAAATCCAAATTTTCTAAAAGAAAACAATCATCGTTGCATCCTTGGTGATCTGAGCCGGTACATCCACTTCAAGCGATTGCGATTGGTTGCTCTGTTCTTGAGGATCTCCAACTCATCATTCAAACGATATCTTCCAAGACGCAAGGTTTCTCTGAGAAAGGAAGTTTCCATAATTTTGGTCAGTGAGTCCGCCAGTTGGGCGCCTGAATGTACCCATCGGAGGGATACTCCCTCAGCAAGTAAATCTTTGATGGCTCTGGCATTCAGTTGTGTTCGGAATTCTGAACAATTGGGCATCGCTGTTCTGGTTACAAGGTCGTAGAGGGATTTGCAGTCTGTGGCAGCTACGCTGTCTGGTAAATTTTGGGTTTTGATGGTAGCAGTGGAATATGTTTCAGGAAGGTTTTGCAATGTCGTTGAGGGTTGTTTCCAGTTCACTGTTGAATCCAACATCCAAGCCCAGCATAAACGCAACCAAGACAAGTGATCAAGAACCGTGTTGAGAGAAACCGTCTCAGCAGCCAAGGTACTTGTTACAACACGTTGTATCTTCTTGGAGCCCCATGCTAGTGGATTGACTGGACAACTGGTGTTGGTACTGATAGCTTTGTGCGTTCCCATGATCAATATTCCGGTCTGAGAGTTATTGTTACCCTTCGATGCAAATGATGCGTCAGAAAAAGCTAAAAATCGGAAGTCCTCTACCCGGATTGGTTGGATTTGGATGGTCGTGTCATGATGTTTCTTGGCTTCATATAAAGTTTGGTTGGCAAAAACTAAGGTTTCCATTGATGACTGAAGCATGCTGATTCGGCTGGAGAGATCCGGACGGGTGTTCACGGCTGCATACTGCAAACTACCGACAATAGCTCGAAGAGCCTGGCGCTCATCTTCAGTTACCGAGGCATCACGTTGGTCTTTTCGATCTTTGGGTATGTGAATTGGGTTGATGGCTTTGACATATTTGGATTGGCTCATGTGAATGGTGTAGTTGGGAAGTTGGTTCATCTCAATTCCTGTGAAGGTAAATTGGTGTAATTTCTTTGAACCGAAAGGGTATTTCTTTTCCAATTGATCAAGCTTTGACATGAAAAGGCTATTTCCTCCACAGATTCCATCATCTACGTGTAGTCCTATAACTCCAGCAATAGATTGATCATGGGGATCTCTGAGAGTGAAAAGGCAGGGATCAAACGGACTTGCTTCAAAGCCTAGGGATTTGAGTTCATCCGATATGGCTACAAACCACAAGTAGGGTGCGTCGATAAGCCCATAGGCACCTTTCTCCAAGCGACAAATCTCATTGGTGGCTAGCTGCAGGGCTTGTGCCAGCTCTGGAACGGGTTCAATGGCTAAAGTCCTACCAGGCTGCGGCTTCCCTTGCAAGAAAGCAGCACGGATGTCAAAAGATCTGAGATCCCAATGCTTGGAGGCAAGCAGTTGCGACAAAAGCATTTTGGCATTCCTTCCCAAAGTCGGACTGTCTCTTGGCAATTCTTCAAGTTGGGGGTCTAAGTAGCCTAAGATTACCAGCCTAGCTTTAGCTTTTGTGGATGGTTTCTTGTTGGGATTATTGTCGGAATTTCCGTCATCAACAGGCTTCCATGTTAAAATCCACCGACATCGCATGATTTGGTGTTGAGGAACTTGGTCACGGAGGATCTTGGAAATTGTCCCTGTTCTGATCCAGTTCTGGATTTCCGATTCTTTGGCCTTTTGAAATTGTTGTTTCTCTTCTTGGGTCAGTGTAGAAAGTTTGGCTTCAGATCTCTGACGGCGCGCAGCGGATGCAACAAAAAGCATTTCATGAGGATTCTCCTCGGCTTTCCAGGCTTTGATGTCATCGTGTGTTACCGTGACTTCCATGTGGAAAGCAGTGTCTTCGTCAAGAGGACACATGATTGGATCATCATCCCTGCACAGAAGGCTATCGCAAATCAGTTCGTCATCATCATCATCATCAGGTATGGGTGTATTCACTGCGGTTCCTGGGTTTACTGGACATGAACCCTCTGCAGTGGGACCTGCTGATTCTGTTTGTGGTTCATTGGTGCTGGCTTCTGGTTCCTGGTCAGGCTGATCTGAATTAGATTCATTTGACGCTGGTATGTTTGGTGGGATTACAGGTGCAGTTATTGGTTCATCTAAAGTTATTGGTGGTGTGGTGATAGGTAGATCTATGGCTCTGGTCATTCCCTGAGTACCATTCGATGGAAGTTGTTGAGCAATTATTGAAATGGATGGTTCATTGGAGGTTATTGTGATCTGTTTGGCTTCTGAGGCAGTCACGGGTCTCACATTTTCAGGAGCACTCCGAAACAATTTGCTTGAAACAGTTGTCCATACGGTCTGTGAATTCTCATGAACTACTATCTTTTGAGGGCCAGCCCAATACCCAGGATAGTCTCCCTTACCCTGTCTCCAAACCATGACCCATTCTCCTGGTGAGAAAGAGGTTTGCCCAGGACGAGAACGTCTAAGGCTTGCCCTTCTCAAAGAAGTGTCATTATCGGCTTGGTGAAAGGCACGCCTAGCCGATTCTCGGCAGGCCAGTTGTTTCCGGAAGGCCACTCCGTGAGCCGTTTCAGACTCTGCAAGCAAATGGGCTGGCAGCAGTTCATCTGAGGAGATGGCACCTGGGACCCTGGTATGTTTACCTAGCACCAACACTTCTGGGGCATAACCACGGCGAAGGCTACATGCATTCTTGGCTTGAACACACCACCACAAGGCTTCATTCAGGTCGGCATAGCTGGAAATTTGGTGTTCAGCTTCGTACTTGGACAACATGGTTTTGAGGACTGCTCCATGTCGTTCTGCTTTCCCGTTCTGAAAAGGTGCTTCTACACTGGTCGTGGTTACCTTGATGTTGTGGGCTTGTGCAAAACGTGTGAACTCCTCTGAATTGTATTCCGTACCTGAATCGACAATCATTTCTTGGGGTGCCCCTGCCCAGCTAAACCACATTTGGATTAAATACTGGATGAGAGCATTGGACGATTGGTCTGGTGCACAGCATGCGGTCTGAAAGCTGGTGGCCCAATCGACAACATGGTATATGTGGTACTTTTGACCACTTCGGCTGGTCCAAGTCAGACCATCGGAGCAAACTCTGTCGTTAAAATCAAGTTCATCTTTGATTGCACTTGGCCTGGCAATCTTGGGTTGAACCTGAGATTGGCATACCGAACACTGCAACTCCAGAGCTGCCTGGGCGATTTCGGCTCTGTAACCCTGTGATCTCAACAATGCACTGAGCCTTTCAGGACTGGGATGACCCAAATTCTTATGTGCTCGAAGTAACATCTGTTGTTCTTCTTTGGAGAGCCTCTTGAATCGTTCAGACTGTCTTGGATTGTGCATGTCCTGTTCTTGAGATGGTGTCAAAAGTGCTTTCCGGCTGGCATCAAGGTCAATGGTTCCTGGCACTTCGGCTGGGATCCCTTCGACGGCGGGAACGGCATGAGGATTAAGAGGGACTTCTTCTTGGGAGTCGCCTCTGGGAACACTGTGCTCTGCTGTCGGGTGTTGCAATGTCTTGGCAAAAACAGTGATGTTCAAACGGCATGGGTGAGAAGGTCTGATGAGATTTCGTTTTGCTAACGTTTCCCACATTTCCCATTCCTCTTCGGCTCTGATATCCCCTGACCCTCTTTCCGTGAAAATGGCTCTTCTCCAAGGTGCTTCACCTTTGAGTAGGGCATCAGGTGGTGCAATGGTTCGACTACTACCCCTGCAACCCCTAATGGATACCACTTCTTTGTCGGAAATCAACTCTTGGATTGTGCTCATTATTTGGGGTTCAGTGATTTCGGCTTTACCTACCCTAGGGATAAGTTGATCTACCTTCTGGAAAATGGCCTTCCATTGTTCTTCACTGTCTACTGGAGCGATCTTCCCAAGACATCTTCGGCGCTTTCCCCATGGCAAAACACCTACCGGCTTCGTGCGGCTCAACGTGAGTCTCGCGGCTGGTTTGGCACGTTTCGGCGGTGGAGCATCAGGGTGCTCAGCGGCAAAAGCTGTGGCATCCATGTGTCGATACGGCTGCTCTGGGCAAATGGTGATTTTCCCAAGGACTCTGGCTAACAACCGTGCAAACTTTCTGGGATAATGTTCAGTGAAGGTTGATCGATTTATTGTTTGACCTTGAAACCTGGTTTGACCTTCAATTGGTTGATGTGAATGGTGGCCTGTGCATCGAAGTCCTGTCAGGGCTTTGATTACCGTTTCTGAAGTTGAGAGGATTGTTAAGGCTTTTCTGATTGGAAAGTGATTGACGGGGTCCCTAAGATCACCTGCTGTACACAAATCAACATCAACCGCCATCAAGTAATGCAACACTTCTTGCAGGTATGGTAACCTGAACATGAGGGAGTTTCTGGGTTGCTCCCAATGAAAATGCTGCCCTACCGATCGTTGATGTCGAAACAGCACAATGCCTAAAGCGATCTGCTCCAGGTGAGTGAGTCGGGTTCTCTGCAGTTCATCCCACGCTTCCATAGATCTACTGCCGTTCAAACATGAAAACCCGGCCCAGGGTCCACAAGTTGGACTGAACCAAATACTTTTGGGACGTCTTTCAATCACTTGCTTAAATACGTACTGGCGCCCACTCACGGATTGGAGATCGCACTGAGCTCTGCCGCAACGCTCGGCTCGATAACCCAATTGTCTGGCTTGGTGGGTCAGTTGACTGTTTGTGCCACAGAAAACTTCTAAAATTGAAAGCTTTGGGAGATGTGATGTTCGGCTCGTGTGTTCTTTAATGCACTAGTCAAGTTCACTTGTGAATTGGTGCACTAACTGCCAAAGACGTTTTCTTTCCTGATGACATTCCATTGTGAAATCCCCGGCATATAAACAGTCTGCACTGAGATCACCTGCATGATCCATTTGGGCTAGGCTCGGACACTCGCCTACTGATTGACAGCCTCTGGCATCTGTGCCTGAGACTCCAAGTGCTGAATCACTCTGGCCATCACATTTTCCATCTGGTAGAGGCGCTGCTCCATCGCAAGGACGTTCGGGTTGTCCTCCTCGGGGAGGTTCTGACTTGCCACATTCTCCAGATCTGGGATCACTTCGAAGTTCTCGGGATCGAGATCGTAGTCGTAGGCCAGTGAATCCTCCTGATTTGCTGCTGGCCGAGTCATCGCCTTGCTCTTGGGAACTGCATAGCCCTTTGGCATGGCACGGCTCTTGGTCGCCACAGTGGCGGGCATCTTGATCTTTGGCGTCGGATTGGTCACTGGAATGGCCTGTTGTGTGAGCTCGGCACGCTCCCACCTTCAATTCCACATAGTGCAGAAACACCTGGTGCTCGTACTTGTGGCTGTGCTCGTAGTGCTGAGCAAACCAGGTCACCCACGATTGTTCCTGATCCCACACTGTCTTGAAGGTCTTTCCCAGTTGTTGGCGGCCGAAATCGATCTTCATGTGATCCATGGCCTCCACTGACATCTTGGAGAAGTCGGGTTTTGTCATCTGACTCTTGTCCTGCATCTGTTGGAGGCGTTTCGACAGCGACATGACTCTGAGCGGTCACTTTGCGTTCACTGTGGCGGGACTCACACTTGGACCTGAAAGGCTGTTCATTCTGATCTGGCTCTGATGAATTGAGTTCCTGAGTGAAAACATTGCATGTCGATGGAACTTTCGGGCTCTGATGGGTCACAGGTTGGGATGCTTTATTGGTGGTGGTTATGAATTGGTTCTCTGGACATGGTGGCACGGACATCTGACTGGGTTCTGTGTACTGGTGCTGCAACGCTGGTTTCTTCGGCAATACATCGACTGTCGAATGGGTTTCGGCATCTTGTGAAAATGGTGCATGGTGGCCCGGTTGGCCGATCAAGTCATTGAGATCGACTAGGAAAAGACCCTTGCTCGTGAGCGTCAAAGGAATGGTTCTTCCAGATTTTCCCGCAACAATGACTTGGGCTTTGGTGTCTATGACGGCTTCAAGTGCTCGGAGCAAGGTGTTTGACAGCAAAAACGGTGTTAATCCCGGCACAATCGCAATCTTAAGCAACAAACCCTCTATCGGCACGATCATGGCATGCTCACTCTTTAAGGTTCCCTGGTTACCAAAACGGAAAGTGATGTTACATGTACATCTCTTGACTGTTTGGCGGACTTTGGGGTGTAAACTGTGAAGGAAATCAGATACCTGATTGCTACCTATTACAGTCTTTGTTGCGCCCAAATCCAACACTCCAAAACTACCATGTGTTGCAAAGCAAACTGCGGCTTCACTGCTGACACTCACTGATTGGCTTGGGTCAGGCTCAAAAGTGCAAACACGGTGGCGCAATCTGGCTCGGATCTCGGCAAGGTCATCAATCCTGGACGGCAGGGGTTCAACAGCAACCGACTGGTTCCACCTACCTAGGTACTGTGCTAGTTTGGCTTTGGGATCTACAGTACCCTTAGCACTGGACGCATGTTGCACAAAACTTAGAGCTATGTATTGCTGAGTTACATCGATTGGGGTTTCGGTCATCACTGGCAACTGCAGAAACTCCATGCTCAACGCCGTGGGATCGTTGGCTTCGGCTGAGACCTGCACAAACGACGTTGGTGCCTGAGACGATCTGGCTGCATTGTTTCCTGCATCGTTACGGAGGGGACATTCTGCCTTCCAATGTCCCACTTTGTTGCAGAGTCGGCATCGTGACTCCATGATCCTTTGTTGCAAACTTTTCCTCGAAGTGCCATGTCCCTTCGAGAATTTTCCTTTCACAAACTTTCCAAAACCCTTGGACTTGCCCTTCTGAGCAATAGGCCAGAAACCGCGCGACTTCATTTTGTCGCTGAGTCTCCGGCGAGCATCAGTGTAGGCTGTAAAGGCTGCTGCCAATTCCTCATCTGATTGCACAAGGTCTGTTGCTGCGGATTCGAAAATCACTGATCAATATGGCATCTTCGTCCCCTTCTTGGACCAAAATGTCCATGACTTCTTCCTCAGGAATTTCCTCGGACATGTCGGCGGTCATCAGGGTCTCTTCACCTTCAACCTGATCAGTGAACATGGTGGCACTTCCATCATAGGTCTTAAGTTTGGAGATCTTCTTTCCGGTGGTCACTTCTTGAAAGAAACCTGCACCCAGTAACCTAATGGCTGCAGACACACGGGTCATGGTCAGTTTGGCTTCGGCACTAGCCTCACATTCCAGCACGACACGTTTCTTGTCCTCTGCACTGAGGTTCGATCCCCTCAGAACGATGTAAGATTGCAGTTCTTCCAGCTTAATCTCACGGCTCAAGATCTCTTGCCATAGCACATCTGTTCTGGCTAGATAGCTGTCATTGGTCTCATCGGGTCGCTGAACACAGCGGAACAAAGCCTTTTCTGCAGTTTCGTATTTCCTCTCAAGAGGGATTTGGCCCCATTGGCCTCCCAAAATCTCGATGATGGACTGAATGGATGACTGCGAGTTGGCTGTCACTTTCTCACTACTCAATTGCAGTTTCTGAAAAGCGGTACCTGAGCATCCAAGGATGAGCCTGGTAGCAAGTTCAGTCCACTTACCATCCGGCCACATCTTCATCAAGAGCTTAACCTTCTTGGTGTATTCTTGGAGATCATCTTTTGATGGGTCGAAAGTCGGAACCAGGACTGCCAGTTGATTGGGTACAAGTGATGGAGCAAAAGTCTCTGCTGCAGCACCTTCTGACATCCCTGGATCAAACAGCAACGGAGCTGAGCTCCGCTACCAGTGTGAATGGGCTTTCACCCACACTGGCAACGGGCTCCCAACCTGCAAAACGCTCAAGCGTGTTTTCCAGCCACGCGCTGCACAAAAGTCAGGTTGCCGCCTATGGCAAAGGTTTTCGGATATGCTAAGTCGGCCACGACTGCAAGCAAGAGCTCCCTGGCTCTACGGTTTCCAAGGGCGGCCACGCCCAAAACGTATGCAAATGGCTCCGCACAAGCTATCCCACCCAACCGTCTGCCCGTGGGCTCTCCTGAGCCTGCAAGTGCTGTGGAACATGGAAACGGTGATACCTGGAAGCTGGTTGGGATAGCATGTACCTTCAAGACCTTGGATGGGTGCAACGATGATGGATTTACATTATACATATATATACATATATATACATATATATATATACATACATACATATATACACATATATATATATATATATATGTATATACATGTATATACATGTAGTACTGGAGATTTTTGTAGGTGATCTATGCAAGTGATTTATGTGATTGATTTAGCCAAACAATCCATGAAAGAAATGTTTTGTTTTTACTGATTTCACCATGTCATGGGGATCGAAGTAATCCAGCCAACCTTTTTTTAAGTGAGGTAGCAAATTATCCGAGATTTTGGCAAGAAAAAATGAAAGAAGTAAGCCATTGCTGAGTTGCTGGCAAAATACCAACGAGGATGGAGGTGATTTCGCCAACAGGTTGGGATTTAAAGAACCAGTCCTTGGGGAATTGCTGCTAATGCAACAAGCGAAGTCCAGAGGATGATCCTCCAAGTAGATGATATCACCAGTGGGTGGTGAGGTGACCAACAAATAACTGCAATGTAGCAGGCGAAGTTGGACATTTCTCCTTCTGGCAGTCAAACATGTCAGTGTAAAGTCATTTATTTCTAGATGAGTTTCGCATTAAAATCATTAAAACCTCAATTTATAGTGGATTTTCCCTGATTTTCCCATATGTTCCTCTGATTTTTCCCATTTAAGACCCATGTTTTAAAGGGATTTCCCTTGAACACAGCACTGCCATCAACCCCTAGCGTCGCGTCGGCCAGGAGATTCGAAAGGCCAAGGGCATCACTGCACGAAAAGTGTCGGATGAGGACCTCACCGGCGTATCAACGGTGAAGTAAAAGCCATAAGTTGGGATGTAACCCCTAATAGCCTATAAACTTTATATAATTTTTATAAATATAATTATATATATGTGTATACATATATATATATATATTACATCCACTTATTAACTGGAACTGCACTTCCAATTCTTTAAGCATCGAATTGATTCAACTTGCGGATGCCACCAGCAAAATATGGAACTTGTTTTTGATTTTGCTATTGTAATAGGGACATTTTTGATGAAACCATCAAGTTTGGGAATAACATGCTAGCCCCCCTCACCAAAAAGGAATCCGTCGTCCTTAAATCTCCCAAGGATTTTGGTTGAATATCCCCATTTGTTACTGAATAGTCAAGTCCATGCTTGGAACATCTCCCCTATTTTTTAGTGAATATCCCCATTCTCATCTCTAATCATTCCATGGCAGGAGATTTGCGAGCGCATGTTCTTCTCAATGATCAACGAGGGTTTCAAGATTTTGGAGGTGCCATTGTTTTGTCCAGCGCAGGACGCCTACATCTAACATATTCTAAGATCCAAAAATTACCATATCCAAGTGCGGAAAATCATTTTCCAGAACCCCATGAGTTTTTGGAAGAAAGGTTGGATATATACTAGAGGTCGGGATGGTTTTTGTTCCAATTTATGCTTTGAGATTACCAAGGCAAGATCTGGACGTTTTTCAATGGGTTTATTCTCTGAGACTGCAACGGAACATGTTGATGCATATTATTCAGGTGAACCATCCACACAAACTGATAATTTTCCAAAAATGGGGTGTACCGGTTGACGGAAATAGTGTAGTTTTTTAATTGTGAATATAATGATGATAAATCATTGGATTTTGCTTGAAATTGAGGCATCTCCAGTCCTACACATTCTATGCTCATGTGCTGGGGAAAGCATCACAGAAACGATGTGGGATTGGATGAAACCACAGACCTTTCCCGTAGTTTTTTGTTCTTCTAACGGAGTAACGGAGTTGTTTGTTGCTTCCGAAAAGAAACATCCAAATCATTCAAATTCATCAGATTCTGTCAGATGTTGATAGAGTCTATACACTTATTGTGCTAATAAACCCAGCAAAAGCTGTGCAGACCTTGTATGTAGTCAAACATAGCATAGGTTTGCATAGGTTAGCCATAGCATCTACACACATACATAACCAATACCAGCAATCAACATCAAGTGACACTGGACCTTTTTGGGCGATCAATGGCAGGAAGGTTACGTTGCTCGATCGTCCGATATTGACATCGTGTACATCTACGGCTCTGTGGCAGCGCAGTTTTCGACCCATACTGTGGATGGGCCAGCGAATTCCTGCACCACCAAAAGGATGGTTGAACCCTATGAATAATGGGATGTTTACCATCTATCAACTGGTGCAGGATTTCGCAACCATCCACAGTATTACCAGGTTTGTGCACGTCTTGCACGGGGTACATCAATACTCAATGCATTTGCTTGTGACAAAGCTGCGACCAAGAATCAACCCGTGTCAAGATGGGTCTGTTTCAAAACAAGAAACCCCAACATCCCCAACTGTTACCAGAATTAATTATCCCATCGTGACGTTTCCACTTGGCGGTATGCCCACTTTCAGTCACGCCCATGTCACATGTTGGGAACTATATCGCCTAGTACATGCGCATGATTATTACAGTATATGTTCTTATTACACTATATGTTCTTTCCCATGAACTATCTCACCGGGAATCAACCTATATAAATATAATCTGCAACCTGAGCTGCACGAGGGGCTTCCCCCCATTTGCCATGGGATGAATCTCACAGCTCAGTCCTACTGGGATGTGCATCCCGGTTAGTAAGTGGTTTATGAGCCCTATATGACTGGGGATATCCCACCTATAACTGGAAAAAACTGGTGTATAATATAGTTATGGTTATAGATGATCGTTTGCCCGATTTTAGATGGTAGATATAGATAGATAGATAGATAGATAGATAGATAGATAGATAGATAGATAGATAGATATATAGTATATTCTCCATATGTTATATAGTATTATAATGTATTATAGTACAGGATGGCCCCCCCAATTATAAGTTGGTTGATAAACCCCATTAACTATAATCATCTATAGTTATATCTACCATAAGCCAGAGTTAATTCAGCCACTTTTTTCAGTCGAGGCTACGGCTTCCCGCCCAGCAAGGGCGGACCCATGTTCTACGCCGAGAACTATGTGGGCTTCCAGAAGCACCCCGGCCGTTGTGGTCTTGCAGGGAGCCCTTTAAAGAGGCACCAATGTTGATTCGGTTATATGAGTTTTAGGGGAAAACTCACCAAATAGATGGGGTTGAAGTTTTTTTTTGTTACCACTCAAAGTTGGACTATCATTGAGAAATGATAGTTGATGTTTTTTTTTTTAAATGGGATTGTAGTACCTCCATGGTTTGTTGGGGATTATGACTAATTATGGAAATCTTGATGAACCAACTAGTAAAATGGGATTGGATAGAAGTCAAGCGGATTATTTTGGAAAACATTGCATCCACAAAAATTGAGCCAACATCAGCCAACAATTGCTGATAGAAACCGGAACATGAGTGCAACCTGGAAACTACTAGTACTTTTCTCACGACACCTGAGCAGTGCTCAAACCCCCTTGTTGTTGAATAGTATAGGGAATGATACATAATGCTACTACCCGTTATATTGTGGGAATTCGCATCTAGGAACTGGGAATCCCGACAAAATCGAAGCAAATGGAATGACAGAGGCTCTTTAACTTTGCCCTGATTTAGGATCCCCAGGGCGACGTGTCAGGTTTGCATACTGCGGCAACACATTGCTGACCATCCCGTGTGGGTTTGTCATCTGCAACATGTGAGTAGGTGGAACAAAATAACATGAAACAACATAGTTTTGTTGATCACAGTTGATCCTCATGTTCCCATTCAAAATACCATCAACCATTCGAGTAGCCCTCTGGATTGTAGTTTGAACCATACGCCGGTCTACATGTCTATATATAATTCTCATTACCAGTATACACTTCGAATTACCCGTGTTTTAAACATATCATTCACATCACATATCAGTGTTGAATTCCCATGTCATATAATTAATGCTCATTTATTTCAAACGATACATGTTATATCATGTTATAGTATTGTTATAGAGTAATTATTAGTGTATATTCCCCTAGCTTTTTTTGTTCATCCAGTATGCAAAAGCGATTCTAGTTGTCTTCAACAGCGGCAACACGCTGCGGAGGATCTTGGAACGACTGAAGGTCTATGATGCGCAGGCGCTTGGAAGCCTCCGGTGTCAACATGGGCTAGCTAGCAAATCCCCTGTTAATAGCTAGGAATAGAGATTTGAAATGGTTTTAATGGGCCAATATGGGTCCAATCATCTATAGTTTTTCAGGAATTGTCATGAATTGCCAAGGGTAAGGCTGTGGGCTTTTCGGCAAAAAAATCGTTGGATGGCCACGTGCAAGGTGGACGTTGGGCAGCACTGTTTGGAGGGCAGCAAATGCTCCTGGTGAAAAGTATTTTCTATGTATATATATATATATGTATGCAAATGCATATGTATATATGTATGTGTATGTATATGGATATGTATATGTATATGTACATGTGTATATGTATATGCATATGTGTATGTATATGTGTATGTGTATATGCATATGTGTATGTGTATATGCATATGTGTATGCATATATATATATATATGTATATATATATATATGTATATATATATATGTATATATGTACATATATATATATACACATACATTTATACATATACCATACATATATATATATACTATACATATACAGATATACTATACATATACAGTACGTAATATTTATGTTTGTATATATATATACGTGTATATATATATACATATACATATGGATATATTACGTATTTGAATCTATGTATAATATGTATATATTCATATATATATATACACGAATATTTACATAATATATGTATGTATGTCTGTCTGTCTGTGTGTATGTATGTATGGATGGATGTATGTATGTATGTATGTATGTATGTATGTATGTATTGTATTGTATTGTATTGTATGTAATGTAATGTAATGTAATGTAATGTAATGTAATGTAATGTAATGTAATGTAATGTAATGTAATGTAATGTATGTATGTATTAATGTAATGTATGTATGTATGTATGTCTATCTATGTATGTATGTATGTATGTATGTATGTATGTATGTATTGTATGTAATGTAATGTAATGTAATTTAATGTATGTATGTATATGTGTATGTATGTATGTATGTATGTATATATATATACAAATATGTATGTATGTGCATGGACATGGACATGCACATACATGCAAACAAACCTACATATTGACTTGGTGTTGACTGAGTGTCGGTGATGAAGTTGCAGTGAATGGTCATAATGGTCATAGCGACACCAAGAGATCGGACTTGTGGACCATCCTAAGGTTGATTGACGCAGTGGACAGTCTGGATTGCTGGGGCAGCATTGTTTTAAACAGTGAAATCAAGACAGTCGATGGCGTAATAAAACAACACATATGTAAAACTTGTGATGATGCACTCTTACTTAAGCAACTATATGTCTAATCATTGGTAGTTATCAATGAACTGACACCATTGGTTCTGCTAGTTGGTGATGGGCATTGTGGCCAGATTTCCATATCTGCGTTGGAGACAACAACCAGGCTTACTGAATGCTCGTGTCAGGTTATGGTTTACCCTCTTGCAATCAAACGGAACTGAGGAATATCAACGAACATTACAGTACATATATATATACATTAAATCAATATAACGTTTAATATGTAAATCATCTATAAATAGACCAATGTTCATCCATTTCCCATCGCCTAGCCGCTAGGATTATTGGAGGCCCCGTTCCTGGGATCCATCCCCTTCCGCAACAGGCCAAAGAGCGATTCACCAAGAATAAGCGTCTTGGACCAGCGAAAATCATGGGAAACTCCATGGTGAAAATCATGAGATTTTTCATTAAACATATCTTTGATATATAGCTGATATCTAATAAGTCTTTTTATTTTTTGTTGGATTTATAATTGGTGATTTTGTTTTTTGTTTTGGATTTAATTGGTGATCTAATCTAATAATTAAGTCCAACAACACCATGGTTAGATTAATATGTGATACCCAATTCTGATAATCAATATTTTGATCATTGGAAATTAATTATCAGATTGGGTATCACATATTAATTATCAAACATACCCAAGATAATTAGTATGTGATACCCAATTTTTATTGGATCATGGGATCACATTTAAAAAAACCAGGTCTACTGTACAGGTCGGAGGTCGCCGCCTTTGTGCAGGATGTTGAACAGAGGTTTAATGGTGTTTTAATGGTGTTTTAATGGTGATTTAATGGGATTTTATGATGGTTTAATGGGATTTTATGGGATTTTATGATGGTTTAATGGTGATCTAATGGGATTTACCCTCTGGTAAACGTTTACATAACGAACTGGAAAATCAGCATGCTATTAATGGATAAATTAACGATTTCAATGGCCATTTTGAACTATAAATGACCATTTTAATGGATTATGATTATAAAAAAATAGAATGAGGTTTTCTATAAACATAATCATACTATATCATAATCAGATGTTTTCTATACACATATAATTCATATAATGATTATGATTTGAATCCATTTGTTTTATATACTTTATATAGTTGTATATACTTGATGATGTTTTGAATCAATTTGTTTCATCATGTTTCAACATGTAACACATCCATCCCTACTTCTACCTAGGACATCTAGGATGATTGTCCCCAATGATAGGTTTAATCTGATTGGAAACCACTAGGTAATCAGATCATGTACTGAAACATATGGCAGGTCGCTTGCTGAAATAGACCAGCAATTGTCAATTGTGACTTCAACAGAGTGCTTGAACTGTGGCTTCTTTGAGCGGTGGCCCAGTGTATCCCTTGTGTTTTTGTTTTCCCGAAGATAGCTTTGCCTAAGAACAACCCCAAAAATTCCAAGCAGCAACACCATCGCATGTTTGAACACTATGAATCACAGATTATTGTGGCATATTGTGGCCATATTTTCATATGGTGTCAAAACCTATGAAATTACCATCTTTGGGGGGAAATAAAACGACCCAGCATGACCCAGCTATGACGCTATGGGTACCTAGAAATACCAAGCGCACCACACCGCCTGAGGGCCTATTTGCCCATCGACTACTTCGAGCCCTCCAAGTTGTTGCAAGCCTGCGCCGCCAAGCAGGGCACCAAGGTCTTCCCAGGACAGACCTTGATCGATGTGGTCCTCAAGGACTGCCGGGCGTTTTGGGGAAATGTGAGGTGAGGATTCCTCATATAGGATATGTAGGGGATTTATATATATATAGATGTATGTATATATATATATATATGTATATATATACATATATATATACATATATATATATACATATATATATATATGTATATATATATTATAGAGAGAGGAAATATCTATATATATATAGAGAGAGGTGTATATATATAGGTGTATATATATATGGCCATATGATGCTATATGTACATATAGGATATGTAAATGGGAAAATATGACCATACCATACCCCATCATATTGTGTGTTTTGACCATGGCACGTATGGTGTTTGCCCGTGCCATGAGGTGGAATGGCACATATAGATACTTATAAATGGGAACACAGATGTGATTCCGGGAATGAAATAAACGATGGAACAGGGAAATTCCCCATTTGTACATGATTTACTCATGGTTATGTCCATTGAGTTCGCAGATTTCTCAGCTTGCCATGTTTGATATGTGTGATTAGTGGTGTGTAAATATATCTAGCTAGGTAAATATCATATTGAAGTGGAATTTGATGGATCTAGGTGAACATTGGGATCTATATGAGATTGGTAGTGGTACAGGCCTGGGATCAATGGGAATGGTTGGATCGTGCAGTGATTCCCGACAGTGGTTTTCCCTCGGCAGCATTACAACCGACCATACCGCAATGCGGGCACAGGTCAGGAATATATTGATGACTTGGTACCTTGTTTTCTCGTTTCCTGTTAGCAATATCAATCATTCCATCTTATTTCAATATATTCCATCAATAGAGCTTTCCCACCAACGGATCTATAGCTGCAAAATGTTGCGCATATATGATATACTCGGTAAATTATAACGACCTCACCGCGACCTCACTGGAATGTTGGTTGGTTGGAGCAACTATCCCTAGATGGCTTTATTTTAGGTTAGTGTGAACTATATTGATTTAACCACCATATATATATATATACATAATATTTTAATTATACACGTATATATATATATACTAATATGGGCGCAATTAGGCGGTCAAAAAATCTGGTGCACTGGTCCACTCTCAGACGGCTCTATTTTGGATCTTCCAAAGCAGGGTGCTCAGGTGCTGAGGGACCGAAAAACCATCCAAAATTGGTCAATCAACAATTGGTATTCTAGTGGTATTAACCAAAAGTTGTTAAAACGAATGGTTTGAGGATACGCGATTTCGAAAAACAACCCGAGGATGGTGTTTGAGGATGTTGTAGATTTGGACGTTCCCATACATGCAAGCAATGGGACTGGGAATAGTTTTACAACCAACTAACAAATCCAATGTGTTCCATTTGTGGAACTCAATGTATCGATCAAAGAACTTAACTTCACATTATTTCTCCATCGTTTTTTCAGCAAAACATATCAGTGTAGCTTAGGAATGGGACGATACCCTAGGAATGGGACGATTTTAGTCAAACATTGCCGACATTGTTGGTGTTGAGGGCATTCAATATTTAGCCAAGCCGATTTCCTGCAATGATGGTGATATAACCGCGAAAAGGAAGGGTTGAATAAAGCCAGCCGCAATACTTATTCAACGCTGGTTTCAGTAGGGTACTATGTGGGTCCAAGAAAAGGTGATACCATGTGGTGAGACTGATGAACATGAAAATACAAAAGTAACGAACAACATCATCAGTCAATGATGATATATATATAATATTCCTCTGAAAAAGATGCATATATCTATTTAATATATATATATATACACAATTACATATATATTTATCTGTGATTACACATACAAATAAACATCTGAAGATACATATTAAGGCAAGGTACACACGAAGATTCATATTAAGATACATGACACATACCGGGTATTAAGATACATATGAAGATACATATTAAGATACATACATATACATATAATATTATATAAAGATGTATAACATAGCCGCATAGCCCCCATTCTTAATCACCATTACTCACCATTAGTCACCACCAATATGCCTTACTTATCAATCTTAACGATTGTTTGCCATTATCAACCATTACAATCACCATTATGAATCACCGATCACCGATCACAGCCATTTACAACGCAACAACTGGTGGTCCTGCAAGATATTCCAAGCTATTCTCACTGGAGAGGACTTCCGCAAGAGCAGCCCGGGCCCAGGCCAGGGTTCTGTTGTTTCGGGACCGTCATCCAGGGTCCTCTTTTGGGCGGAGCAAGAGCCAGCAGAACTTTTGGTGGTTCATAGGGTTTAATAGGGTTACAATAATGGATTTAATGTAGATTTACAATAATGGATTTAATGGTATTTAATAGGATTTCACGGGATTGATATAATGATATTTAAGATATATAGGAATGGCTGGCATTTACTATATGTGGGATTGAACTAGCAACAAACATGGGGATTTAAGCAGGAAAGCAGCAGGTTTTGGAAAGATTTAGGATCGTTTAAGCATGGGATAGAACTGATAAAACTCATCAATATGTTTTTCATGGAATATATGATATAATTCAATGGGACAGAACGAAGCAATTATGATATGTGCCACGGTCAACTTTCGTTCTGAGAGGACGGTCATCAATCCATTTTTCATAGGGACTCCCATTGATGGGTGATCACAGCACAAAAAAAAACATGTTTTGACCATGCAAGGTGTTGTTGATGATTGGCACCATGTTGTCCGTGAAGAGAAAATAGCTGTGGAAAACCAAGGATTTGTAGATTATGTTTTGATGGAATCTCTATATACTGTATATATATATATATATACATATGTGTATGATCCAAAGCCTCAAACACGGAGGTACCTTGCTACTTTCCATTCCAAAATTAAATGGGGGCGACCCGAGTTGCTTATTATAGTAGCTAACAATCTCATAAATTATGGTTGTTAGGGATCTTGTATCTATGACTGACCATAGTCTGACATGATTTACTATAATCGATTTCATGACCATTGCTGAACATTGCTGCTATATGATATATGCGCATGCTGGTGAACTGCATCTCTCACCCGGACGGCAGGCCCATTCTCGAAACTTTAAGGCTCTGAGCGATGTCGGAGCTTGCAGGAACGGTGGCTGGACCTTCAGAATGCCGTGGAGCTTCGCAGTGGAATGCTGAAGACTCAATGAGTTTGATTGTTTTAATTTCATTGATTTCCATTGTTTGTTTCTGACATGGATACATCATGATACATCCATTGTATACAATTTTCTGACGGCTGGTGAGTTGACTATCTCATGAGGGTTTCATTTTTTGGGGTTGATGTATGGATTGACATATATTGACATCATGCGATATATTTGTTCACTCCTGGTAGAGGATCAACAGTTCGAATTTGATCCACAAAAAATGGAATTATCCCAAGTCCCATACATCCGTACGCCTATTGTTGATGGATTATTTCAAAATTTCTTCTGAGACAATGACCCGAGGTGCTAATGAAATAAGATGAGAGCAACCCACAAAAATCTCCTGGCATGTCCGGTGTACCGACGCTGCAGTGCTCAAAGTTCGCTTCGCTTCAGTTTTGATTGTTGTCAGCGCATCATTTTTGTTGGCGTTGGACGGTTTTAACATTTCTACAGCAGAAGAATCTCTAACAGCTCCTCATCCCTAAATCATTTGAGGTTTCCCTTGCGCTGAATTGTTTCAACCAAGTTTCGCGTGCAAAAATTTGTCGTTCCACAATCGACAGGCCGGAATGCACGTAGAGCTTAGGTGCATATGACATTTACATACATTTCCTGCATCGAGCTAAACACCAAGGAGCACTGTCAACGGTGCTGACTTGGTACATATGTTTTGTTCGCGATGGGACGGATTCCCGCGGCACAACACCTCGCCAAAAGAAGTCGAAAGCTAGGGCAAGCTTGGATAGGTATTTAGTACTTGATGCTTTGCCGTGAATGTGGACCTATGATATATATAAATATTATAATGACAATGATATATGATCGAAGGAAGTTTAGAAGTCAAACTTCCGACAATATGGACAGATGGAAAAGCAGAGGTGGGAAGAGTCAGAGAGGAGAAGAGCAGAAGAGAGAAAGAGTGAGAAGAAAGAAGATGCAGGTGCGCGAAAAGGTGGCAAAGTCACGAAACACAGTGTTTTTCCAATGATTTGTGGCTCCGGAGGGTCGAAAAGTAGGCTCGCTAAAGCGGCGGGTGCGGAGCCATGTGGCCAGATGAGAGATGAAAAATTGCACGCCGTTGTGGCGCGAAGTACATTTCGAAGTCAAAATGTACAAACACACCATTCTCGGAGCACTTTTCGAAGTTGAGATATCGGAAAAAGCGCACGCCATTGTGGCGCGAAGCACATGTGGAAGTCAAAATGTACAAATCAAACCATGTTTGGAGCACTTTTGGAAGTTGCGATGTTGACAAAGTGCACGCCGTTGTGACGCGAAGCACATTTCGAAGTCAAAAGTGTTAAAAACTGACGGTCTCGGGCCACTTTTGGACGTTCAGATGTCGTTTCGCATGGCAGGCGCAAGGGATTGTGCACAAAGTGAGCAAAACGTGAGGATTTCGTGGATTTTGTCGCAGTTCCAACTACAACCACTGCTACACCACATTCCACTACAACTACAACCACAACCACATTACACTACACGGCGCTAACTACATTACATTACGCTACACTCCACTGCACTACACTACGCTACACTACACTACACAAACTGCAACTACAACTACAACTACACTACACTACCTTACATTACATTACATTACGTTCATACCCCACCACAAATGCAACTGCAACTACACTACACCAATTACACTACACCAAAACTACAACTCCACTACACTACAACTACAACTACAGCTGCGCTACACCACACTACATCCAGCTGACCGACCAGGTGACCATTGGAACCATTGCAACCATTGCAACCATTCCAAAAAACACAGCTCCAACCACCTTTCAGTCCATCAGTGGATTCGCTCTGCCATCCGTGATTCATAACAACCAACCTCCCCTATAGGTTTCCTATTGTTGAAACTTCTACCACCGCCTTGTGCGGCACTACTGGTATAATATATATATATATATATAAATATATATTTGTGTACATCGGTATATTGCATATATACATAGACATATATACATACATATATATATATATATACATACATACATATTAGCCATCTAAACAATGAAGGGCTTCCAAAATTGGCAATGAAACTGAGTAACTGGATACTTATGGGCCAGACATATGTTTTTTTTATCATAGATCTTATTTTTTTTGGTTGCAGCACGCGATGATTTTTGCCTGATTTGGTTTGGGATTTCAGTTGCCCGAGGTGCAAGCAGATGCGCAAAAGGCGGGGTTCCAGAAGATATACCAGGTATCCCCTTGAAATCATCGGAAGGTTTTGTAGCTTGTTTCCAGCATTGTTGGGTCATGGTTTGTTTGCATGTGAAAACCTTCCTGTCTTGGTTTCTGATGTAAACAAACAATGGTAGACTTCCTTTGGGTACCGTAGGGATTGGAAGAGCGTTTGACGGTTTCAAGTAGATGTGTTGTTCTTCAATGCCATTCCAACTATTTGGATCGTTGATGCCGAAGGAACATGGCATTTGGTTACTATGACATATTGTTTGATATTAATGTTAAATTCAAGTGGATGTTGAATTTGTTTAATGCCTTAAATTTGTTCATAAACATCGATTGGGTATGTTTTATAGTAACGCGTCATAACCCCCACATTGTCAAAACAATGCTATTCACTGCAGTATCGGGATTACCACATTTAATATCATCGTAAGAGAAACCACAACCACCACAAGGTACCACCTTGCAATGACCACCAAAGTATTGGGTGTACGAATTTCAACCAATAATATATTTACATGTTGCTTGGCACAATTATACACAATGTATATTCCATATGAGGGTTCATACATGTGCGCACATGTGTATACATATGCATGTATGGATACCCTATAACCACCGCGACGTTAGCATAAATTACGCGATGACGAGTTGGGGTAACTAGGTAAATATCCAAAAATGACCTTGTTTCAGGCTAGTGAATGATTGCTTTATATGCACATATATATATATATACCATTAGTTGTTCCTTTACAAATATTTACCCATTGTATACCCATGATCCAGGCATCTCATCCATTTCAGATTTTTGTTTCCTATCATATTTCCATGACATCAGTCATCCCCTTTTTGTCTTGGGAAATCCCCAAGTCCCCCCAGGTCAACGCTGCGGAAAAAACACTGACAGTCATCCCCAGATCGACTGAAACCGCGCGAAGGACTATGAGAAGCCGATCTTCGACCTGCCGGGCCCTTTGCGGCCTCCCGCTGCGCCGGCCAGGTACAAGGCCATGCTGGGAATCCACGGTTGGAGATCGGATCGTAGGGAAAATCCCATGGGAAACATAGGAAAATGATAGGAGATGCCGTAAAAATGGAAGTATAATGGGGATACGAATGGGATATTCATAGCAGATCAATGTGGCAAAACTTGGGTAATGTACCCTTTGGTAATGCAACCATGGAAAATGGTTTTGTTTATTAGGCTAATCATCTTGAAATTGGTTAATGTCCATGGCTGTATTAAACTACCAGAGGGCACATGGACTGCGTTGTCGTAAAAACTCAGATGTTTAATATGGTAAGTCCAATAATACACCAACAGTTATTAATGGGTAATACCCTTTGATACCCACCCATTTTGGAGTGTGTGGATGTGTTTTTTAACCATCAAGGATTTGCAACATTATATACAACGTTTTTTTTTGCCATAGTTTTTAAGGAATTCGATCTGACAAACCCAGGTTTTGTTTTTATGTTTTGTTCGGAAGGCAGATAAATTTGGAATATACAATCTGTGCTCTGTTTCTGTGAAACAAATTTTATCTAAGATTGTCAATGAAACATGGATCTTGAGGTTTTTTTCATGATTCCGTTTGGACGCTTAGTTAGTAGGTTATGTGTATCATAGGTGAGCACAAATGGCCAATTTATGCTGGTGGCAAAAAGGGCCGTGTACCTCACTGCAAGCTGCCAGATATGCGTATCCGTATCAGTCATAATAAGAATAATTATAATATATATATATACATTATAACTGTCGTGACATACCTATATACTCCGATATCAGTATGTAACCCCAAGAGAGGGCTCTGAAGTTGTGAGGTTCACGACAGCCACAAGTTTCTGTTCACGTCAACAGGCTCTCACTCGGATCCGCTTGCGAGTGGCGCCGCACAAGTTGGGGGCCCCTGGGGCCTCTGGGCAGAATCTCCGTGATCTCCAGCCTTGGAGCAACCAGAAGTCGGTGTTGAGCGAAGCAAAACTGGGCGAATATCTGGCTAAACCTGGACAAATGGGATGCAAGCAGTATAGGTGTTTACTTTTTTTGTTACCAGTGTTTGTAGATGGCCCGGTATTTTCCATAGCAGTGTCTTATACAATTCTACAAAGATACAATTGCATATATTCATATATACATGTTTTCTTGGATACACATATACATGCGTATGGTCTTTCAATAATAGTTCATCAACATGTGGTTGGTGAAGGTTGGGTGCAGGTGCCACACCAATGCAGATATAAGGCACAGTGACTGTAAGATAGGCTGAACAGCCATCACAGACAGCAACATATATTTACCCTCTGGTTATTTAACATAGCCATGGAAAATGGTCCATTTATAGATGATTTTCCCATTAATACCTCCATTTTTAGGGGATTTTCCATGGCTATGTTAAATAACCAGAGGGTAGATATATTTAGTACGTAGATATTCCGTGACATTTCCCAACACACCCAGACAGGTATTGCAGTTCCGGATTGGCAACTCTGTGTTGATGAAATTGATCATATTGTGGCAAGTTTTGGTGCTTTCATGTGTTATAAACACAGTCCCATGAAGACCCGTTGAAAGAGAATTGCAGTGACACTTGTGACACTTCTCAATACAGCCGACCTATCTAATCCAATCTAATCCAATCCAGTCTAATCTAATCTATCCATCCATCCATCCATCCACATAATGATCTATCTATCTA